CTCTTAAAAGCTTGTTTGTCCCCACTTATTACCACTGACAGCTGAGATCATGTTTTTCACAGTGCTGCTATAAATAATACCATCAGTCCTGGTTAGTCTGTCATAGAGTAATGGGGAAAAGTGTGTGTGTCATTTTGGTAGCCGGCAGTGGGGACAAATGCTTCATTGTGACTTTAGTTTTCATTAGCATAGCATCACGTGTTGTGTTTGTACAGCACGACAACAATCACCAAAACAGAGAAGTAACCACTGCCAAACACCCAACTGATACCAACTGGGATAAGGCCAAATAGTTTAGGTCACTGCCAGAAAATCTGGTCTGAAAATAAGCAAAGCATGATTAAAATAATGATCACAGCTTTTGACTTTAAGACCTATCCAGCAAACATTATCAGAAAACATGTCTTGTGTTAAAGTAAAAGAAAAAGAATCAAGATAAGGCTGCTAGGTGCCATTAAGTGTTTTTCCTTTGCACTGTTCTGCATCTAAAACCAGGGCAATCTTCTCAGACACACAGCAGGGAAAGTGTTCATCCCCAAACATCTGTGAGGTATAAATCAGGCCCCAGAGAGGTGACCTCAGAAACCACTGGCTCTCACAGCCACACAAGAAAAAAGACTTTTAGCAACACGGAATTCAGCTAACACAAACGGCAATGCATCACTTTGAGTCTGAAAAACACTGGCCTTATGCTCAGCATGGGAATTCTGCTTTGGCGGAATATATACCTTAATGACAACATGGAATCAGCACCACATTATGTTTAATGTATCAACAAACGTGGCCGTTAAATTGTGTCTCAAATGACTTATATGTGAACATTTCACAGCAGTAGCATACAAGCATCCCTGTAAAGCTTGGAATGCAGGGTGACCAGAATATCAAAATAAAAAACTGGGACATCCCCAGTTTTTTTTGGTGGTTAGTAATAATAAATAAGAAAATTATTATGCAGAGATCATTCATGTCGAACATTTGAGTCAGTATTGCCACATTTTCTTTGTATTTTGTCGTTTTTAAGCAAATTTTTTTGGATTTTACATTAACAGATGAAAATGTATACCTCTCTGTACTACTGACAGATATAAAATTTGTCAAAAATAGGGACACCTGGGGCCTGGGACATTTCTTGTATAAAACTGGGACAAATCAGTGGTTTTGGATAAATATGCTGAGACAGGGAGACAGTCCCAGGGGAAACTGGGACTGTACCAGGAACAGAATGCAGTATTTTGCCTTTGTCCAGTAAGCCCATAGAAAGAAAAATGGTGTCCTGTCGATTTGAGCTACCTAGTGCTACTGCGCATGCGCACGACCCCCAAGCGCTGTTACCCCTGTAAGTGTTTTATTGTATGTTTTGACCAGTTAGGCACGTAAGCAACGATACATGCATGTTAGATTTGTGGCAGAATACCTATGTTAGATGATTGAATAGTCTGCATTTAATATTTGATTTTATCATTTTTATTTTCATTGCATCGTATTTTATTTTGTTTCCATGTTTAGAAAACGTTGTAACTTTATTTAGAAAGGCGTTGTATAAATAAAATATCACTATATTATAATAGGAAATTCACACTGTACCCTATGATATTAGTATTAAATATTATATATTTAAAGCTATATTTAATATAAAAGCCTTATTTGACAGAAGACATAGACCTGTCGAAATGAGCTACCTCTACCCAAATTCATATAAATGAGTGAATAATGGTGATTATACAGTGGGAGTATTGATGGCTAAACTGGCCTGTCGATATGCGCTACCTTTATTCGGAGCCCAATTTGATGGCATAATACCAAATGAACTACATATATTCATATAAAGTATGATCACCATGTCCAAACAGCATCTCTAATCCAAAGAAATATGCTGTAAAACTGGGGAGGTTAGCTTTATTTCATCTATACAACTGTACATGGAAAATTTTGACGGTGTAGAGTGCACCGATAGACGTCACTGTTGATTTAGGCTGCTGGTAGCTCATTTCAACAACGGCAACGCATATTTCAAAGAGCCTGCTCTGAGTAAAATGTTTTATTTCTGTTCTTACCCAGGCCTTTGTACTGTTAGCTAACATCAACAGTAATCTCCTTACTGTACCTGCTGTCACATTGTTGTTGTGTTAAGCAGAAATTCTCATCTTTGTCCTCGTGCCTCATGTCACGTGGCGCGCGCTTTCGAGCGTACACTGCGCGGGTGTCGTGACCAGATAGGTGGGTTTGGTATTCAGACATGAAAAAAATAATGACCCTATTAAAATTCTTCTAAAATACATTTAGTCTTTCTATTAAATAGATCACCCTGTAAGAAAAGTAAATTAACCTGTTTAGCAAATAATTTTCCTTTAGCCTAGGCAACTTGGCTGGAATGAATGGGGAGACAGTATGCTTCTTTACTAGAGGAGTTTATGTGGTTTAAAGAAGACAACAAATTATTACATTAAGGTTTGGGACTACCCCAAAGAGTAGACTATTGGTGATGCCTCAATAAGTTTGTGAGTACTTTTTCACAGAGCATCAAATCAGCATTTGGATCTACAATACGAATAATATTCTGTATTTTCTTCTTTCCTTTTCTCAGACAGCTGTGGTGAGCCTGTGGTTGTACTGGACTGTCTGACTGGGGAGAAGCTGATGATGGTTTGCACACTCCTATCAGCCACTGAACTCTTGGTCACCCATAACTATGCAACAATTTGAGAGAGGCACGTGGGCCTCAAACCGTGCATTCATCCAGACACATGCTGCATTCTTTTTGCCCAAATTCACTTTTTTTTCTTTTTTTCCTAATGACACACACACTCACACAGACATTAATTGCCATGAGCGAAACGAGTTAAAGGCCATAACCTTGACAGTATTTTAGGTACTGCTTTTGCTCATAGTGATGGGAAACACACAGGTAAGCTTCATGCTTTGTGGTTTGCAATTGACAGCCACACACAAGCTCCTTTGGTCAGGGCCAAGGTTGCACTTCCAGCTCTGTCATTTATCTGCTCATAAATCAGTGGACCTTTATAAGACACTTAACAAGATTCTTCACAGGCCTGAGGGACCCCGCTTATAGAGATATCAAATAACACCTCGGCAGGCTTATCGCTATAATTACATGCTCCTGTGCCAATGTGGGCTACAGGAAATGATTTGAGTCAATGAATTCTGTAGTATCTGTGCTATCCAAACCCAGATTCCCTTACGTACTCCTAACTTCCAATTTGTTTTAGTAGGAATAACATGACAAGGCCGATTTATCCTACTGGGTCTCTTCCACTCAAAAGTACTTCAGAAGCAATGACATTTAAATGGTCTTAACTCCTCTGACTCCCTAAATCTCAAATGGGAACTTGACTTGAGCCGTGATTGAAGCATTTGGAGTAATTTACAGACATATGGCTCTCTTGTGGATGGGGAAAACAAAACAACTGTTCCCTTAGAAACCACCTTGTAAAAATAAGGCAAATTTATAATATAATAGGTGCACTGATTTATAACGTACATTTAACTGGAGTTGTAAACACTAGAGCGGAACTTGGAATGAGAGTAAAGTGATTTTTAAGGGGTCCAATACTAAATCTACATTGATTTTGTGAACTTTATCATGTTTTTTTTTTTTAAGTGTTTTCCAAACTAAATTGTGTTGTGTTCTTTGTCATTCACGCCTTGCATATTTGTATAAAATTAGTCTGTTTCCATCTTCACGAGCATTTCTAGAGTTCAATTTAATTCATAATATTGCCCCAAATTAAAGCAAACATGTACATGTACATTTTTTAACGTGTTTGGTTGTACACGTAAATTTTTTTACGTGTAAAGCATGAATTATCTATGCCAAGTAGTTGACTATTTTTTGGAGTAATATTCAGACATCAATTGTGTTGATTTTTCCTTCCCAAATGAGTATGTAATTACTAGATTTTGTTCATTTCATAATATTTAGTTTTACAAATAATAAAGCAGATGTTGCACCTACTCTACTTTGTACTACAGTAATATTCTAACTCTTATAAAACAAATTTTGTCTACTCTATTCTATAAGGCCTTTATTAATCATAAAACATGAAAATGACCTCAGATCAATTTCATGACACTACTCCATTTTCCTGTGGTTGGTTAAACATTGCCTCATGCCTCATTTATTAAAGCTCAACACAAGCTATACAAGTCCATCTCTCCGATCACTTTTTCATAATTTTTCATTTTCCATGTATTTTCCAGAGGTAGGACCCATGGGGACACATACTGCCACAAATTATACGGCATGCACTTTGGACTGAAGTGAGTGGAAGGCAGATGCTCTTTTTGGTCAGAGAAAGTAGTCCCCACCTGCTCCAGAGTGTACTTCACTGTGGGATACCTCATCTGTTCCCCTTCCCTTCATCCAAGTCTTCCCCATGCAGCGTGAACACATTACATGTCAACCTGTCAGTGCGCACTAATGATTTCCCCACTGAATGGAGGCTTGTCCTTATTCACTCATTGCCCTAAACCACTGAGACATAACAGTGAAATTAACTGGTAATACAAGACAAAAGTATATTACCTTTCATGGTGTAATACTATTGTGTCATTACATGTAAGAGAGCATTTGTGTACAAAAACAAAATCATGACAGTAACTTCAGCAAGATGCAGTCCAGTCTTGATCAAATCCAAAGGTTCCTAGTGAGTTTTTCTGAAAAATGCATCACAATTTGGTTTCAGTTTTGAAGTTCTGTTGCTACCTCTTAATAAAAAGTAATAAATAAATTAAGGGGTCCAAAATTTACACAAAAATGTGTCTCATAATGTTTACGCACTGACCTTCTGTTGACTGGCACATGACTGTGACGCAGGCGATTAATGCTCTGTGCTCTTTTAGAAACTGTCATGGCCACAGACAAGCCTAATCCATACTCACCAGCTTTAATCTCCTTTGGCTTATCTTCCTGCAGTTAAACACCTTGAACAGTGAAAGAAGCTAATATATCACTCGAAAGTAAAAACTACTCTTGAAAAAGATTAAAAAACAAACAAACAAATGTTTATTTATACAAGTTGTACAGGTAAATGGTGTATAAAAAGTATTTTAAACATATAATTATTGCCTTAAATCACAGTTCTCTCTCACATATGTACATGTTTTAGTAGAGATTATGAAAGGGTGAAAGTACAGTGGACAAAAACAACATACAAGTTGCACAAGGCCTCACACAGAACAGTGTGTCCACCCTGTGCAGATCAGAAGAGAAGCATGTCATGTAAACAAGATGCTAAAACATTATCTAGCTGACCGTTCCATGGGCCGCCATCATAGTCGTACAGTCTGTTGTAATGTGCTGCAGATGTGAGGGTCCACTTGAGAAGGTCAAGGGAGAACCTCATCACATTAACAAGAGAAACAATCAATTTCTCAAGGTCGCAGCTTGAAGCACATTGTCATGGCCAAGCCCTCAAAGACCAAAGTTTTTTGGTCTTGTAAGTTTTGACAAGCAGGCAGATTTTCTGGGGCGCAAAAGTTGTTTATCATTGTTTCAATTCTTTCTGTTTTCTGCATTACATATGGCATCTGAATGCAGACGATTTGAACTGCTTGGCCTGAAGTATTTTTCCACTAAAATGTGTTTTCACTTATTTCTAAATCCCAGAGCTATAGACAGTTCATGCTCTCTGTGTCTTTCTACCATTGCCACTTACTTTTGTTCCACTCTTTTGAAGGCTACCAATATTCACAAACACACAACGTTTATGATTAAAATGAGCCCTTAAGAAAGCAGAAATAAAATAAAACCTGTGCTATTAAGAAACCAGGTGTTCACTTTCCACATATATAACAGGACTTGGCTTTAACATTGAAATGTTGATGTAATACATAAGTGCTAATATAATCTAAAATACATAATGTTCATTATTTAGATTCTTATATCATTTTACAGATCTAATTTGAATCCAATAAATTTAAGTTATGTAGCACCATTGCCTCCATCTTTCTTGACAATGCTCTTTAAAAAGGCCTATATAGTATAAATACAAGATGAAATAAATCTTTCTAATACCATGTACAAATATTTACAGGTTTAAGTCGTTTAAGTTTATGTTTTGAACAAACTATGCTGAGTGAGTCTGATAGTTATACCAGTTAATTTACCAGATAGTTATATATACTCTGCATAAATGTTGATTCAAGTAGAAGGATGTGGTCCAGATTTTCTCCAAAAAGAGTTGTCCAGTTGAGCAGCAAGTGTGTCTTTTAGTTGTCACAAACAGCTCTTCCTGACAAATGAAGGCACAGAGGAAAGAGAAAGGAGAGGGGCTCTGTAGTCCAAACTCCAGAGGTATCCTGGCAGGAAGCATCATTTAACAGGCTGTGGACAAAAAAACATTTGACAGAACAGGTTTTTGAAAGGTAAGGTAAAAAAAAATGTTATGCATCTAAAACATAGTATAATAGTGTCATTTCCTATCATTTTAATTGTGTGGAAAAGAAATACCTTCACTTTGTTGACAGATTTCAAGTATGGGCAGAGGAGCTTTCCCTTCGAGTGTCTATGACACTGCAATAAAAATAAACATGTTCATTTTGTACTGAATCTGCATAAAAATAAAGTTATTGAAACTGCAAATATGTAGGCATACAAAGTGCACATATATCTTTAATTTACTTTTTTTATTCCTCTCCTTGTAACTCAATATCACAAATCTCTATTTATTTATTTGCATTCAAGTACACTCACGCTTGATGCTGCCGGACAAAGTCAGCAAACTGACGGTCTTTGGCGTAGAGTTCAATGATCCTTATCCTATCTTGGATTTCCTGTAAAGAGATGTGATTTCAGAAATCCCACATACACTGGTCCAATAGACAACAGATGGTATTATAACATGACGGTATAATGGCCATTAAAATCCAAGCTTAACTGTACCTCCTTGGTGAGTTCACTGTTCTCATAGATGTGCCGTATCTCCTCACTGCTGAAGTCTGTGGAGGCCTCAGCACTGGCACTGCTGTACATAGGGACGTCTGGGTACCGCCGATAGTAGTGACTGTATCCTGTAGTGGCTTCACTCTCATACATGGGGTTGTACTTGGTTGCCCTCTCCATAGAGGGCATACTCTCCACTTGACTAAAGGATGAAAACACGAGACAGTCCAGTAAGTAAGACTTGGGTTTGTTTGGCAAAAATACAAGTGGGCAGATGATAAGAGGATGTCGCTGCTTATTAACTTCTTAGGTCAACTTAGTAACCTTTCTTTGTTTATGCCAGTGACATTGGGCTTTATCAGATCACAAAGCGTATTGTGCTGGAAGGTTGTTAAGTCTTATTCAAGTTGCTAATCAGATAAGGAGACTATCTACTATCAACTACAATAATGTTATTATTAGTTAAAAAACAGTAAATATAGATTTGAGTTTGTTAACATGTATTAATCGAACTGTAAAATTGGCTTATAGCTCCACCTAGCTTACAACATTTTGTCATCTGAAAGGGTTAACCATAGAGAATAGAATTATTGAGGATTAACAAACTGTGTGGATATTTTTGATACATTCACAATAAATATACAGTAATAAGAAAGTAAACCTTTTAATAGTTTAACATTCATTTGTAACAGCACGTCAAATCTATACCTTAAACCTATATATCGATTTAGATTATTGCTCACCGTATTGGATCCTCAGACTCATCCTTGTCATACTGGTCTCGCAAAGTTCTGGCCAAAAAGAAAATCACTCCAGATGCGACCAGCAGGAAGCCCGCCACAGACGCTATAGCAATGCCCACCACCAGCGGCTCAGAGACGTATTCCTCACAGTGCTCCCCTCTGTACCACCAGTTATCTCCAACACGACACCTGGGATCAAAAGATATGCTTGTCAAAATTTAGAAATAATTACTGTACTAACATTTTTTTATTTTGTTCCTATGAGACCAGAATTGTGGCAACATATGGCAATACCACCTTTAAAATGAAATTCAAAATACACCAACAAAGAAAAGTGTTACAGTCTATATGCAATAAAAATCTCTGGAGTCATTGCTAAAAGTAATGTTATTATTTGTGTTTATTTGAATGACTTAACAGATTTTAGTAGCATTTGGAAATTGTTCACCCACCTGCAGATGGCTCCTTGGCCAGGGATGATGTCACACTTGCCATCATTGAGGCAGAAGTCGGTCTGAAGCTCACAGATACTTTGACAGGGCAGTCCATCCACACTGAAGTAACCTGCATTACACACACACTCCGCCTCGCCCGACCATTTGTTTACTTTGCACTCTGCATACTCATTACAGGCCTGAAACTTACAGGGGTCAGCCTGGTCACCTAAAAGTACAGTGACAAAAAGGATGAATAGATTTACATTAATAAGGATACAAAGTATGCTAGCTGCAGAGAAACAGCAACATTAAGACTTGTGCAACATCATATTTCATCATCATGGGATTACAGCAGCGCCTAATGTAGGATTCTGAGACATTATGACATCTCAAATGTCAAAAGCAAGATTAACATGACTATCATTATGTCAAAAGCAAGATTAACATGGTTATGATTATAATCTACACTCACGACACAAAACTAAATACATATTTGCACTGTGTCTTGTTAGTCTTGTAGCAGACACAGATGAGGAGAAATGAAAGAGCTGCTGCAAAGTGTGACAGCTGCATGCAGTAATCGCTCTGTCAAAGTGCAGTTAATGATGTTAACTTCAGGGAAGCACTGATCATCTGATCCCATGAGACTTGCGTGTTCACCTCTACAGAAGTGCCACCACAGACACCTGTCCTCCCCTGCACTGTCTCATATAATAAACACAATTTCTGAGACACATCTGGCAATAGTTCTAGCAATGAACTCACACTACACTTGACCAACCCACACCCTACTCGTACCAGTGCATACTGCTATAGTTATGTCCTTGGTAAAGCTTTCCTAGTGTGAATGAGAAGTGTGTGTGAGTGGTCGGTGGCCGTCAGAGGAGCCAGTGAAACAATATGGAAGCCTTGCTTCCAAAACTTTACCCCAGGGCAACTGTGGCTACAGAAGTATCTTACCACCACAGTGTGGAGTGAATGTAAAATGCATTTTAAAGCACTTTTTAAAATCACTTACCTGACTCTACATCCAGAGAGTATTTATCTATAGCCAAGTTCATGGTCTGGTAGGCTGTGTTACAAAAATCCTCCAGGATTAAATAGACCACGGTGGTTGTCTCACGTGGGACAGGCTTGCCAAATTTCATTCTGCTGTTAACAACAATGCTGCCATTCCTAAAGTTGAGGATCTCCAAGTTCTCAAAGTTACTCAGGTTGGACTGTAGGTAAGGTACAAGCTAGAAAATATTCAGAACCACACATTCAGAAACGTAACACCAAAAGAACATGATAATAATACAAACTAAAATAATAATTATGTGATTATATGTACCAGTTCAAGGAATCTTTGCTCCAGTGCTTTATACTCTGCAGAGCTTTTGTTGAAGAGGTCTTCTGAGAAGATCATGTTGGTAACTCGCAAGCTGAAGAACACCATGAGAGCACGACCTGGATTGGCAGGCATGGCAATGCTCGAATGATCCATCCCATCAAAAGGCAATCCTGTGCTTCCCTCCTCTGTGTGGTTAAATACCCCATAATGAATCACTTCAAAGCCCTCCTCTCCATCCAAGTCTAGATCAGAGGTCTCAATCTGAGGGAGACAAATAATTATATGATTAAGTGTTTTAATGAGACATGATTCAACTATGAATGAATGTAATTAAACTTACCTCCACAGTAGAAGTGATGATGATGTCAGGCTGCACATCTGAGGCAGGGTTAACATCAGAGATACGTGTGAAAGGAGACTCTTTTTCTGGAGAAAGTGCAGTTGGCTGCACAGAGTCCACATTGACCAGTATGATTCCATCCTCTGTCAGATCTTCTGAAGAGATCATGGGCGCCTCAGGGATGTCCTCAACTGAATCTAAAAGCTCCTCTGTCTTTTCATTTGTTATGGCTGTTTCACTCTCCTCAATCACAGCTTCATCAGGAACAGATACTATGTTTTCCTCTTCTTCCTCAGGGGAGACTTCTCTCAGTACATCCTCTACTGGGAGTTCATTGACAGGCAGTAAAGCCACTTCTGCTCCCTCTGGCTGTATCGTTTCAACTGTGAGATCAACTACCTCAGGATCAGGAACTAGAGAAGCCAGGCCCTCTTCACCTATAGTTTCCGTGGTGATTGTGGAGAGTTTGGCTTCAGTGTCTGATTCAATTATTTCTTCTAAATTGTGTTCTTCCAGAGCTGGGACATGCACCAATATTGGCACTACTTCTGCCACATTCACTTCTCTTGTGTCGTCATCTTCAGTATTTACATCTGCAGTCTGAGCAGTCTCCTCAAAAGGCACTTCTTCTATTGTGGGAGTCAGGAGCAGGTCATCCAGATTTTCACCATCTGAGCCTGAGGCCTCGACCTCCAGTGGGGGATCAGACAGGACAGTGACGTTAGGCTCCACTTGGGGGGGCACCTGCGCTGGGGGGCTCTCGACATTGGGAATCTGCACAATATCTTCCACTAACAGACCGTCCTCGATTACGCCTGGAAAAATACACAAAAGATAATTCTACTTTTCCAGTAACTACTTCCAATGTCCATGGAAAATCACTATAATAAGAAAAGTACAGTAATACTTTGTAAATGATGGAATGAAAGAATGTTAAACTGCCATGATTTTAATAGATGAAAAAACAACTTTGTTAATTCATTACATATATAAAAGTGAAATGAAAACAGAATCCTTACCACTAGGTTCAGGAGTAGCAGTCGTCAGAACAACCTCAGGAGGTCCCACGGCACTCTCCTCCAGAAATATGAGATCATTTCCTGTAGCCACTGTGCTGATTTCAAATGCGTCAGAAGGGGAGTTATCTCTTTCGATATCTTCCTCTTCCACTGGCTCTATGATCTGATCAGGATAAGAAATGATATTAAATATTAGAAAAAAACACAACAAATAAATAATATAGGCAAGAGTAAGTATGTCAAATAAATGCATAAAGCAAATAAAGATTTGCTAAAAGAATGGATATACTGACACTTCTTTATATTTCAACATCCCATCCCACAAATTAATTCTTTTACCATTAAAATTAAACTCTTATTCATTGGAAAAAATAATAAGTCATATAAATCCTTGTTATAATCTTTCCAAAGCATGTAAATGTTGATGTATGTTGTGGTAACAGTCAGGTCTACACAGTCCAATTTCAACCAAATTAGTGAAATGTCTGAAATAAACAGTCGCTTAAATGTTAAAAATCCAAACAGAGCAATTGCTTTTGTGGCACAGTAGCTCTGTGCTTGTGCCTGTGAATCAATTACAGAAGAGGAGTTTGTAAAACTTTCCCAATTCATATAATGAGTCCTATTAATCACTGAGGAGACTGAGCTGTAAGGCAAAGCCACAAAGAACGTTATTGCAATTTAAACTGTAATTACAAAGAAAGGACTGAATCAACCACAAGTATAAAAGTAAAACGATGCAGACGGTGGATGGTGGTTGTGCTTGTCTGAATGAACACATATGTATAGTATCACTTCTCTGCTCACTACAGCCTGGCATACTGCAACCCATCCCCAAAATAGCACTGGATTATTATGGCAAGAGCAAAGTAATCCTGAAAGCCCCTGTTCATCCTTACTGGTGCACTCATCCCTACCTGCACTGGTCTGGTCTGTTTAACATCAACAGCCATCTACCTCTGAGCACAGCGTCACTCCTATTGCTGTCAGTTGTACCTATAGAAAAGTGATTTATGGAGAGCGGTTTCTGCTATGATAGTTATAACATTGCTCTTACCATAGCTCCTTCTTCAGTGTTGGCAGACTCTGAGACCTCAGACACTGTGGAACCAGTAAAGAGAACAGATTAACACAAGCTGACGTGCAAATCTAAATGTGCTCAGTTGCCTATTGTTTAACATATTATTTACTTTTACAAATCATTTATTTATCTAAGGTCATCAGTTTCTACAGAGGCATCATAATCTGACTGCTAACATAGTAAGTTATATACAAGAAGAAACCTTCAGGCTGTAGCCACATGGTGCACCCATATGAAATTACTTAAGCATCTCTTCATGTGCTACAAAACTAATGTGAGTGGTGTATGGCATTGATTCAGCAGAGGTTCTCCAAATAATACTAGTAGTTAAAGTCCAAACCAACCAAGATTTTATCATATGATATACTATTATTAAACAAATGTACATGTTTTCAACTCTAAATGATAAGATTTCAGATTTAGAAGATTTAATCTTTACCGCTCTCTAGTTCTCCAAACTGCAGGGCCTCCGTCACCATGCTTTTGACCTCGCTGATAGTGTACACCATTGTGGGCAGCTCCTTCACCATACCATAGGAGCTTTCTACCAGATTGGACTGCAAGGTCAGATAGTCCAGTTGTTCACTGGTCACTCCAGTTCCATCCACAACAACTGTGACTGCATAGTCCACAACCACACCATCCAGCCTGAGAACAAACAACCTTTAATTTTAATGCTAATGTAGAGCATCACCATCTGGCTAAACTTACATTTGCTTGAAAAACACACTTAAATATATTTAATGAAGAAGCAGCCCTCCACAGAGTATAAAATAATACTTAGGTGCTACTTTGATTTAACATCAAACATGGAGCACTTGCAGATGACTAATGATTTGGGTAATTTAGTCTCACTTGGACCTCAGGCGCTCAACTGTATAGGCCAGAAAATGGCAGAGTCAGCGCAATGATCAATATCATCATAATAAACATGGAAACCTCACATGAGATTCCAGACATAGGAAAAAGTCATCTATCAGCATTCATTTGACTACTGGGAGTCCTCCACTCTGACCTACTTTATAGGTTTTCTGGCGGACGGCTGAGCATTGACGGCATAAAGTCGACCACAGTTAACGGCAAATACAGTTTTTCCCTTTTAGTTTTACTTACAGGGACACAAAGCTCTGCTCATACGGTGGCTAGTGATCAGCAGTTAGCAGAACTATAGACAGTCTCACAACTTAAACCAAGTTATTCCTAAGATAATTCTACATTAAATTCTACATTAAATATCTGTCTTTAAATAAATTTTAGACTATTTTGCGAGGAATTACCAGTAAACAAATTCCTGAAGACTACAAAATATATATAAATATATACATCTAAACAATGGCATATATATATAATTTTTAATTTGCAGTATGTCTCAAGCTCAAGTCCCCTGCTCTACTTTTTCATTCCTCTCTCACCTATGGCATACTGTAGAGGACCTAAAGCCAAGATAATCGTCTCTATGAAGGTGCACCTGGTCTCTGGGTTGGACCTGTCCTGATCCCACTTACCAGGTGAGTGACCACACTAAGTCTATTAACACAGGCATCTAGTGACACACCTTCACACGTGCCAGTGTTAACTGCTAAAGAGTGAGAGGGCAGTGCATACACATAATGACACTCTACCCTGGATAAGTATTGCCTGAATCTATGGGGTTAAGGGCAGGACATGAAGAACAGTGAACTCTAGAGATCTAATCATGATAAATCTGTCACTATTTAGGCTACAAACTTACCCCTGTGGGTCCTTGTGTGGTCTAGGGGAAAAAGTTAAAAAAAAGCAATTTCTGTAAGATATAAATCATATTTAGATACATTTACATACATAAAATAACTTACCTGAAGTCAATCACAGACACGCTTCTAAATCCAGGTAGGCCCTCCAAAGCATCTTCAATCTGTAGTAAGAAAGTATCTGAGTATCAGCGTCACTGTAATGACACAGTTAACTTTAATATCCATCTCTTTAGTTTAAGGCCTATTGGGCTAGATTTATTTTCCTGTAAACAGACCAATCCTGTCTGTAGCACATAAATAACTGCTTAGAAATCATGCATTAAATGTTGTTGGAAAATTGGAGAGAGCTGATTAAAGTTTCACCAGAGATAATGTGTGCAATAATAATGAGTGCAATAATGGCACCCTTCACAAGTATTATCAATAGAAGCCAGATGTTTTTTCATCTACTCCCAACATAAGACACATTATAAAACTGTTTACAACATTTTTTTACCAAACCTGCGACTAAACCTAGTACAAAAATAGGACTACACCAAGATTAGAACAGGACTAAGCCAAGTCTACATTAACTAAACTGGTCTCAAACCAGAATGCACCCTTTAACTCTGAAAAAAATAAGTCTGTATCCATACTATACTATGAAATGAGACACATGGTGACCCAGAAAATGCAAATGTACAGAGAAGATAAGACATACATTTTCAGTGAGCTGTTGGCTGAGTGTTTGATAGAGGAGGCTCGCTGGGTTGTTGAGCTCATCGGTGAAGGTCTCTCCAGTCAGCAGGATGCTCAGCTGCACCACCTGCTCCAGAACAATGGGCGTAGGTGACTCTAGAGCGATGTCATTATTCAACTGAAACAAACAATAACAAAAAAAAGCATAACATAATCTTAAGTAAACCAACTTGGTGTGTAAAGCCATGGCTGGGGTAAGCATTTTACTTACTAAATTCTCCTCTGGCTCAGGGACAATGGCAGCTTCCTCTATCTTTTCCTCTTTGGTGTCCTTATCTTTAATTGCAAGTACAGTAAGAATGTGAGTTTTTAAGGGCAGGTGGGTGAATCAAAACCTTTGGCAAGTGAAATGATTCCAGCAGATTTTGTGAATTACTCACATACACGTGTATGACTTGGTGGGGGAAAGCAAAACTACCAGGATAACTTATTTTTCTAAAGTCCATTTAGGTGTTAAAGAAATATGTTGTTCAGTCATTCACCACACTAATTTTAGAAAAATAAAAACATGAGGGATACTGCACTGCTACACCATGATGATCAAGTGTTACTCACCAGGCCCAGGAGCAGGCTTCGGTGTCTCTGGGGTTGGACTGCTGTCAACATAAGGATATCATGTTATTTCTCTTACTCAAAAAGTTTCAGACCATAAATATAACTTCAAAAGTTGAAACATAATGTGGTGTATTTGGTTATCAAACTGTAACATGGGCTGTTGCAACAAAAATGTTTTTTCATTTGCAAATACAGTAATATAGTGTATGTTTTGGTCATTGTGAAGTAAGCGAGGTCAAAGGTCCGGTGCCTGCCTGCAAATTTCACTCATGTAGATACCAGGTATGAATGCTTTTTCATTTTCACTATGTTTAATAATCAGGAAACATAGTCATAGTATGGCTTCTTTTTAACTTTATAACCATAAACAAAAACGAGAGCTTGGATATACAGTGATCCAAGTCTAAATCACAGAATCTGTTCTGAGGTATAAAGACGAATATGAACAGGTAAGGTTGAGAACCTTACCTGCACATAGTTTGCCAGGACTTGGTGGGCTCACTACAGATGGTAGGAAGAACACAACAAACACACACGTCAGCACAATCCCATCCCAGCACAAGATAAAAGATAAATGAAGGGGTTAAAACATCTTACCTTTTCACACTTGTTAGTGCCATCCTCTGAAATATAAAGAAAAGGTTCTTAGAAATTATTTTCCTTCAAATTAATAATTCTAAAATGTTATCATCCTCAAACCTTTTTAACTAGAGCTTGGTGTTCGTCTGACTGGCTAAAGTAGTTTCCAATATCTTGTGCTGTGATGGAACCTTCTTGGCATTTTTTCATCCAGCTTTCATACTCCACTTGCTCTGGGAGTCGGTCCCAGAAGACTTTGAAAGCCTCCCATATGGTCTCCTGACAGACTGTTCAAAAGAAACAATATAGACATAAAATTCACAGATCTCAAATACACAAAGACTTAAAGATGTCCCTGTGTAAGGATACTAGCCATTAAGAAACACAAAGGCCATAGTCATTGCCTGCAGTGACATAACTGTTTTCATGAGTCAGTCACCCGGGCATTGGTCCAAAGTCAGCTTCCAGACATATGTTTAAAGCTCTTTCCCTAATCAACACTGTCTGTGTCCCCTGGGGCCCAGTGGTCACTTTCAGATCCATCTTATGTAACAAATCCAAACATTTCACAAAAGCAGACACCTTCTTCACTGACTCTGTACAGCCCAAGAACCTCTGCAGCTCACCCACACCTTGAGTTCTGCCCACTCACTCACTGCACTAACACTGATGAAAAACACACATGCATCAGATTATATTTCGAGAACTAATCCATCCAGAGATCTCCATTCTGTACAAGACCTGAATATTGAAAGAAATAAATGCACATTTCATACATCAAATAAAGGTAAATACAATATAAGCCCAGGTTAATTCTCACTGCCAATTGTTGCATACAAAGCTGATACTTTACCTGGCCTGCCAAGACAACATGATTTACCGTGCTATAAAATACAGAGACAACCAGTCTAGCTCCCTGGCTACGAGTTACTTTAATAAAATAAAAAAGGCAATTTTGTTGGTGTGAACATCATCTATGTATCAGAGCACAACATTTATAATTCTTTTTATGAACATTTTATGGTTTTACCTCTGAGATTAAAATAATTGAGATGATTTGCAACAACTTGCTGCATAGTTTCTTGTGCACAAAGTTTGACTCCATTTGGAAAGAGGATGTTGCGTTTTCGGCGCACAATAATGTGGCTTCCTTTGGTTGCCTTGACATCAGACACATGAATTATTTGCTGATGTACACCAATCTCCTGATTGTGGGCAACTTCAAGATAGCCCATAGAGGAACCCTCCAACACTGCACCTAGAGAAACAAAGTTTCATAAAGCAATTATGAAATACCAAACTGGTTCAAATGCAAGTACTTTCTAATCATGTCATGCAAACACATACCTGTCTTTAAATCCACAGACAACACTACAGATGTTATCAGAACAGGGACAAAAACACATCTCCATGAGAAGGTGAACATTTTAGATCTGGAATTTCTTTAGACTTAAATCCAAAAACTGGGAAATAGATCCAAAAAAATGTATGTCCCTTCAGAGGTCACAAGACGTGCCTTCTTAACAAGGTTGCATAGTTTATCATTCTTCTGGAGTTAGAACTCATAACCAAACAATGAAAGAAACATCATTTGCCCCTAAAATTACATTGCGTTGTTCTGTCTCGTCTCTTACAGAGGTGTACCTCATGGCACAAAAAAGACAGCTTGTGTCTCAGGTTGGAAAGCAGATGGCCATTGGAAGAGCTGGGGGATTTTTAATGCTCTCTAATCTTGTTTAGCCTAAGCTTTTAACAGGAACTGACCAAGAAGTTACTAGAGCAACACTAGACAGAGGAAAGTGTTACAGAAATAACAGAAATAAAACTAAAGAACAATGAATTAATGACATTCTTAATGGTTTCTATGTGTGGAGTGTAGAGCTAAATGGTACAGCATGTCTTGGATAAGGCCTTAATGCCATCACAACTGATACAATTTTTAACTATGTAGACCAGAGAATCCATCTGAAACTCACACGTACCCAAAAATACAGTGATTATGTCCAGGACTGAAGTAGGGGGCTGAGCTAAGGAGCGCCTGAACAAATCCCCTCATAAACAGATAGTGACAGTCAAGACCCTAAAAGTATGGATGACCTTTGACATTCAAATTGAGATAAGTCACAATTCTCTAAAACCAAGCTTGTGGTGCAAGATGATATTTGCTTGTTAAGAAAACCACATTCATTAAACAAAAATGTTCTCAAGTTTTTTCTTATACTACTGTATGTGTATATATTGAATAGCAGTTTCATTGATGGCTCATTTCTTAAGCAGCTGCAACAGAATACAGCAGTGGATGCTACAGCATACAAGATTAAAGATGAATACTAGTAAAGCATCCTTTCTTAGTTTGAATATGCAAAAATGGCAATAAAAACAAGCAAATCAACAATGGTGAGTTTTAAGCTCATTTTATTTGATAAATATCTAAAATAATGTTCTAATAAAAATAATAAAAAAACATTAAAACAGTTCTGTACACCTTTTTTTTTTCTTTTTCTTTTTATAACTACAATTCCTTGGTAGTGTTAAAAAATAACATTTAACTACACTTTTCATACAGTTTGCTTAAGGACAAAAAAAAAAAAAAGAATGTTGCTCACTATGAGCAAATGTGTATAAAAGTGAGTGGAATGTGAAGCAGTGGTAAATACAAGTGTCCTTATGCTTTAACATTCATATTTTGAGTTCGATAAAGTTTGAGTACCAGATCTCTGATTTCTTCTCGTTTTCTTCTAACTTGATGTCGCGGGAACCAAAACTTCAAATGTAGAGGCAGGTCAAAGTGTACTATGGGGTCCTACAAAGATACAATTATTACAGGGCATTTCTATATAAAATTAGACATAAAAAAGCAAAGACATTAATTTTACCTTTAAAAAGCTTTCAACATAATGCAACAAGTAAAGGCCACAGTCACTGCTGTTGTCCTGAAGAGGGACATTACAATGTGAGCTTTCCATCTGATCTGGTCCAAAATCCCGTGATGAGCCTCGACGGGCTTCCCACTCCGACTGCAAATATCTGATAAAAATATATGGAATTAATGCCACTTCTTAAAAGGTACAATCTCTGACATGAAAGCTCTTACTCTCTCATCAGCTTGAAGACTCGCTCATGTGGAGAACGCTTAAGGGAATCCATCACAAGAATGCAGGGCCTATTGAGACACAACGATTTATTGTAGTTTATACAGTAGCATGTTTTGCATATTATGAACATGTGGCCATTTGTGCTTTCACCTCTTGCAAACAGTCTTTCTTCTGCAAGTCTGCTCAGTACAAGCCTAAAGAAAAGAAAAAGGTTAACATCCAAGCAAATAATAAAAATAATGTCAAGTTTGTAGCAACAAGTCTTACCACTGAACCAAGCACCGGGTCAATGGTAGTATCTTTTTCTGTATTTAAGGTACATACAATGTTATGTAATATACCAATTATTTCCAAATATGATCATTTAGAATTGTACAAATGTACCTGTGTCTGTGGCGTCATGTTTGTTAGCTGCATTCTCATTTGGGGATTCTGAAGATTGTGTTTCATCCTGACCCTGAGAAAATGTTTCAGTTTTTGGTTCCTCCAGTCCAGGAAAGCAAATAACAACTAAATACCAATGAGCCCTGAGGAATGATAAAAATCAGTTTACCATGACATTATTATTTTCCAAAATGTGCTTCATAATTATGCCTTGACATTAAACATACTCCTGATTAACAGGCACAAAAATGAAGTCCTTTGAGAAGATGTCCACATGGCGTGTCCATGTCCTAACACGTTGGTACCGTTTTTGCCTTTGACAACTAGAATAACACAAAAATCATGTCAAGTGTTTTTTTTGTAGCATGGAAGCTAAACAAACATCAGACTCACGATTCACTGTTGCTTCCTTCACTGGCATTATCCCTGCGCGTTAATTGTTTGTAGAAAAAGCTGCTGAAGATGTGTGAACGCCTTGCTACTGACTCTGGGGCATTTTGGAGAAGGTACCTGAGAAAAGTACATTAGCCACTTATTGTACTAAAAAAAATGCCGTGTGTTGACAACTTACTTCAGATAAAAGTCGATTATAACGTCATTGAGGTACTGGCCAATGTCAAGGCACTGCAGGTCTTCCATTGTTACTGTAATTCCACCTTTCATTGGAGGTGGAGGAAACTGAATCAACCTGAACAGAGACAAGAAAAGAGGGACTATGGCTGAGAATATAATGAGTGTAGAATGTAATGTTTTATTACAGAATGTAAGTATTTTGAGCATTCAAAATCCTATTCACAATCATCTTACATACAGATATCTACTGGGCTTTTAACAAAATTAAATATGCCCAATGATTTTGCCAGAGTTTTTTTTATTGGTTACATAGTGCCACCACCTGGTCAGTGTGTCAACTATGAAAAGCATTCAATTATTGCTAATGACATCTAACACACCAACTGCTGGTCCTCCCATTTTGAGTATTACATAAAAACATAGCTCAGTGGTGGTGAGGTTTTATACAGTAGGTATAAATCGGAAATGAAGAACAGACACGATGTAAAAGATGGTAATACTAAAGTGGAAGACAGATGTTATCTTTTGAACCAAAATGGACGCAGACACCGACCTGCGGGCAAGTCCCCGATGTTTATATTTGACCCAGCTGGAGTCTGGTTTGCACATTGTTACAGAGTATGAGTCCTCCAGTCGCCGATGGCACAATGTGTATACAGGCTCAATGGCATCCTTCTGTTAAGAGAAAGAACCTGATACAAAACGCAAACTATATTCTCATTTACATGTTATTTTGCTGACTAACCTCAGCTGGGAGATTGGGTGTTTCTTTAGGCTGTGCAGCTTCTTCTACCTGTGAGGGCCTTTCATTGTCTGATGTCTTTCCCAGTTTTAAAACAGTGTCTTTGGGAATTTTTAAATCACAGTTTGAAGTACTTTCTTGTCCATAATCTGCACCTGTGATGTCCCTTCCTTGGTCCAGGAGCTGCAGCAGGTGTACATCCAGTCCGCTTGATTTTATAAGTTCTACACTCTGATCCAAAGAAAGACCTGGGCCAGTGATTTCCTGATCATATTCTCCTAAGGTTTGTTGTCGAGTAAGAGAGCTGAGGCAGTCTATGTCCAGAAGGGAACGCAAAAAAGCCCCCTCCATACCCTCTAAAGAATCTTGCAGAAAGATCACGATGAATGGGCTAGGTATTCCTAAAAAAAAAAAAAAGTTTGTGAAAGTAACTGATTGTTGTGGAGAAAATACAGAAAACACAGTCTCAAGTTAACATCTCTAACATGCAAATTTTAACCACAGATTAACATCTCTTCTGCTTTGCCAAATCTGCAGCTTCTTCTGCAATGCTTATTAGCACAACTATTCTTTTCCATTGCAAAATGAAAAATTTATTCTTTTGGGTCATTCGTCTTCTCTTCTATTCTATTATTTTTTTCAATTCAGCCGCCCCTTGTTCAATTGCATTTGACTATGAATTTGTAAAATACACATACAAAACATACCTGTTGTTCTAGGACTCTCTGGTTTATCGCACAATTCAACAAGGTCATACTGTACACCCTCTGCAGCATCTTCCGAGACACAACATAGCAATCCAGCCGCAGGTATTTCTGATGCGTTTCTGTCTGAAAAATATTTTAGTGATTCCAGTTCTCCCTTGTTCCAAACGCTGTACCGCCTTAACTGTTTGCGCTCCAGTGTGATAATCAAATCCATTTCTTCAGTGACTTCTGTGGAAACAAAGGCAAGCCAATTAAACAAAAGACATGGATGCTATTACTTAATCAGTGGTACTGATCTAATCTAATTCGATAAGTATCTTGATTCTTTGCCAGAAACTCAGAGGTGAAAGTATGTAAGAAAAAATAGAACAGTAAGCTGGAAGCAAAGCAGGTACAGACAAAAACAAGTAGGCTGGGGTCAAAGCGCATCCCGGGTAATACTCACTGCAAGATCAATAACACACTTGCACAAACTTACTTTTCAGTGGTATAATGATGTTTTCATCAGTAATCTGGAGCAGAAAAACACAAATTTTAATTACACAAATGAAAATATACATATACATATATATGTAACAAAAACATACAAGAATGTCCCCGTTTGCCTTGGCATGGTATGGTCCACAATATAGGTCGGAAAAGGCCAAACACAAACAAGTGTCTTTCACTAAATCAGAATTGTCATTTACTAGAACTTGAAACACCTGAAACATACAAATGAATGTTATGAAGTGTGAAAAATAAACATGGAAGAAGAATATCAAACAAAGCCTACCTGCATATCTTCTACAGGGTCAGGCTTCTGTTGAGGTGACAGTGCTTTCTGCGAGAGTTGTTTCTGACTCACAATTTTTTCATAATTTTCTTCATCATCACTGGAAAGAACAACTGAAATACAAGTGGGATATGAGTGATATGCAATGTCGTTATGTTATATTTGTACAATTTGTAAGTCTGTTTTAAGAGTTTTATGCACTTACTAGGTTCAGTTATGGCTGTGGTTGCACCATTATCCAGTGACATTGAATTGCTGGGTTCTGCAGTTTTATCACCTTCCCCTACAGTAAACTGCATAATACCACCATCAGTGCTTTTCAAAGCTTTGTCTTCAGCTTCCTTCTCTGAACAAATGGTAGCTTCTCCTTCCATATCTAAAGCTCCTGAGAGGCGCAATACACTGGCCCTGGGGCGTTTGGGGCTGTCTGTTTCCGTGCACTCTGACACAATATCATTTACTTTTCTTTTCTGTAAATAAATAGCAAGGTTTTAATGTCTGATTCTTATATGGCTGTAATAAAGCTAATGCAGCAATTAATAGCACATATCAATCTGACCTGAGACTTTTTTGGTTCAGTTTTCTTGTTCTCAGTTGCAGAGGATTTACCATGATTTTCTTGTTCCCGCATCACAGACAATCCACAATCTAAGATGAAAAAAATAACCTATTTTACTCATGGTGATCCACATCAAATGCAGAATAAGCAACCAAATGCCAACTGTATTAAGACTGCTAGATTATCAAAACGGTCTGCTTACCCACAGGTTCAACCCCATTTTTGCCAGATCCCACTTCATCATTATTTTCCAAGTCACTCTCCTCCTTCGTAGTTTGAGCCTTTTTTGCTGATCTAGAAGTGGATCTAAAAGATTTATAGTTAGGGTTAGGGTTAAATGCAATAAAATTGTGAATTTTGCACATGCATTTAAATATGTAAAAGAATAATTAAAAAATAAGTTAAAAAAAACTTTAAAAGGTCAGCATCTGTTTAAAGTGGAAGTCAAATCAAACATGAACAAATTACAATACATGTGAGAATGTATAATAATGATGTAATGATCACAGCATTTCCTACCCATTGTAGGACGAGTCAGGAGTCTGCTTGCTCTTAGGTGAAACACTCTTGTTTTTTGAGTTTGTGCTCTTTCTTTGCTTGGACCGTCTGTCTTTGGAGACTATGGGTAGATCTTTGACGCGCCCACTCTCCTTTCCATTAACATGCCGTTTGATCTTCGCCATGTAAGCCTTGCCTGCTTCTGTCTTCAGGACATCTGTCAGAATCAGACAGGGCTTCCTCCTATTGGACCAAATAAAATGCACCTTACACATAGCTGCATCATGGCTGTGTAATGTAGCAGCTGATAAAGGGAGTGTCTCTGTCAAGTGGTCCAGATAAGCAGTTTCTGGAGTAGACATGATAATAGTGTTTGTAATGGTGGTTATGGCACACCAGCTGAACTAAAAAAAAATAGCTCCATCTTGTGAAAGTTTTGCATAGTACACTGATCAGTTACAGAAAGCCCTAGCACAATAAGTGATTTAACTTTTGCAAAAATAACACAACAAAAAAACCCAACATTTTATTTAGTCATAAAATGTATAGAGTCCACTTACACTGACAGTCCTAACCTAACCATGGCTGCATGGTTGTGGTCAAACAGCACAGCTCCATTTGTGTGCTTTGAGTCACGTCGTCTGGATTTATGACCCGCAATTGCTGTCCAGGGAATCTGCTATATAATATTAAATTTAGTAGGTTAGTATGTTGCCAAGATGTTTTATTATAACAAAGCTGCTATCATTTCACCTGTTGTTGGAATTTTCCACACTCAAGGTAAGTTGTGGGGATTCTCAGAGGATTCTCCATCTAAAATTGACGATGAGATGTTTAATGTTTGCTAGCACACATAACGATCTATGTAAAGTTAATGCTTAAACCTTCATTATTATGTTTAAAGTAAGGTCACGTGTATGGAGTGAGACGTGTATAATTTTGGCACTTACTATATTGTCCTTGCCACGAGAAAACGGAATAGTTAAGGCTCGTTTTCTTTCCATCATAATCCACAGCAACAAAAGCCAAACTATAAAAAAAAAAAAAAAAGAATAAAAACGCAGAAATTGCAATCACAAAAGGCAATAGTAATGCAAATTGTTTAAATGAATCTTAAAACTACATTTAATATTAATCTCCTTGATCACAATTTGCTCATATTTATGTTAAAAGCAGTCATGGCTACTACAACAACAATACAACTAATAACAGTGATATTTATGATGAAAATAGTCAGGGCTACTACTATAACAATATAGCTAATAACAGCGAGTTTAGGCAAACATAAAATGATCTAAAACTGTAATATGAAAAACAATGCCTTGAATAAATTGTAATGTGCCCCGTGAAAAGAGAACAAATCAGTGTTTCGGAATAAAAAACTCTTACAGTAAATTTTACATTATTTCACCAAGACCTTCTCGGATTAACTTATTTAGGCTGCACACATCAATTAATCGGTCCTATGTATGTCCGAGGTATAAAACCGAAAGTTAGCCGACGTTAGCAAACACGAATTGCTAGCTATCTATGCTAGTACAACGGTGTCCAAATAAAAGTAAAACAGGGGTGGAGATAAACTTGCCTTAAACAGGACTGCTTATATTCTGAACGTGGGTGACGAAACGCAACAAACAGTTCGCATATAATTAAACGATTGCTTCACAAAAGACCATGCACTGCATGTTATTCATGATTTTGTGCTCGACTGAGCTGCATGTACTTCTTCTCTTTTCATGATAACGCAGAAACCTGACTGCACTCCTGCAACACCGCCCTCTACTGGATTGATATAGTATTATTTTGACTCCGTTATTTTCAACTTTATTTAAATACATTTACAAAATTAGTTGTTTGATAAATATAGAGTAAGAACCACCAAAAAGGCTAGGTCTATCTCTTATAATTATGAGTTATGAGCCTTGTGAGTACAGTCACTGACACTATCAAGACCAAATGCAAAATTGCTGTAAAATATTTGTATTCTGTCAATATATCTCTTACTAACATTGATGCAAAAGTCTCAAAACAGAGAGGTTGACAAGAAGACTTTCAAATACTTCATCAAGAAAAAGCTATAGTCTACATATAGTCAAGAAGACATCTACATCCCAGTGCCCATCTACATTGAAATAATTATCTTCTTTTAGCATAACACTAATGGGACAGTTGGCTATCCAGTTGAAACCATAGACTAGCCATTTGTCTGAAGTGATAACTCTGAGGCAACTGCTTCCATCTCTTCTTCATGTGGACGAAAAATCTTCAAAGGGGGAGATTCCAACTTCATCTTTTCAGCTATGAGAAAAGCAAACCCATAATAAGCCCACAAAAATAACTGTGGTGGATGAAGAACATGATTTAGGCTGTTAAAATAAGGCCTATTTTATCTTGGTAATGACATATAACATATTAAATTAAAACATAGGCAAGTCTGGGCAAAACATGTACATAGGCGTAAGGCTTGATTCTTCATTTCATTTTGAAAGGCACATAACAGACTGCTTAGTAAAGCCAAAGTAAGAATAGGTTTTCTATTTCGACATAAAAACTGTTTCACACGCCCCGCAAAAGAGTTTTTAGTCAAAACTGCAATCACCCCAATTTACAGATGTGCATCAAAAACACTGCTCCATAAACTCGATGTGATTTACTACGCACCCGCTTTGTCACAGGTGCACCATTTACCAGCATCACTTTACTCCCTGGTGAAGAGGCCCTCTCTCCACACCCGCAGACAAATCCACTGGTTATTGTTTTTTTTTTTTTTTAATAAATGTTTAATTCTTTAAACTCCGTCCATACCTCAGCTTACTGCACATCCACAGCTCTAGCCGCACACTGCGCCCCAACATGATACAAGACCCTGGTCTGCACAGCTTTGGGCCGCTCCTCATTTCAGTTCTGCAGCAAGAGACTGGAACCAGCTTCAGCAAACTTTAAAACATGGTTCGTTTTTTACCTCTTTCGACTTTGAAAAACTCCATCCAGAATATTTTACAGGCCCATTGCGCTTGCTTTTAACACTTTTATATCTTTAATCTGCAACTGTTTCACTGTTTTATGTCTCTGTTCACTGTTTCATGTTATGGTTGATGTGTGAGTGTATTTTGTGTTTTGTCAATTGACTTACCTGGTAAAATATTTAATAATTAATAAAAATAAAAAAAACCGTTGTAACAGTAAATAGTGGAAAAACACAATTCTTTAATTAGTTAACAGTGATATTTAAAAGTTCATCCTAAACATTTAAAACACAATTTTAAAAAGAGAATTTGAGAGCAGGAGTAACAGCAGCATCAGCATCAGCAGCAGCGAAGTCTGGACTCTAGGAGGGGGGCCTCCTACACGGGGCCTGGGGCGCGTCAGAAGCGGCCGCTGTCACCACCGCCTGCTCCAGATAACACACGCGCGGCTACCACCGGCCACCGAAAGCCCCGACGGGCGACTGGCGCCCTCCGGCGTGCGCACCCTTTTCTAGTCATAATCAGTGACGCTGGGAGGCACGCACGGCGACGCAAAGGCGGATGCATTCGCGGACGCATTACAGTGGGAAAATATAGTCCCTGCTATCCACCAGGTTACATGAGCTTTATTTTGACACACTTTTTCTGGAACTACAAAAGGTGAGCTGAATATGAATATAAATAATAATAATAAATTCTAAATAAGTAGCAAAAAAGATAGCAAGAGACAGGTGTCAAATAAGACATAATTATGTAAATATATATGTACAAGTCAAAATAATATAGAAAAATAAGATAAGATTTAATAAAATATAAAATCTCGGTTATATGCAAGAGGTCATAGGAAAACAGTGCAACAATAATTTGTTGTAATTCAAACTCCTCAACAGGACCTTGAACGCTCATATTGTTCAGACTCAGAAAACGTGTTGTTTAAATACATTTTGTGTTTTTTTCTTGACTTTTTAGACAATTGTAAACCTTTTTGACAGTGTCTGCTAATGTATGCATTGTGTCACCCTGGTAAGTTCTAAATATTCCACCATTAGAGATACATGTAGAACACCCATAGCGTGATGTCACTGCCAAGTATCAATAAGTATGTATATTTTTTTATTAAAAATATCAGTATCGTCATTCTCATCTCATCCAGGCTACTATAGGTTGTAATGAGCAATGGACAGGTGTTCTCCAAGGCAGTCCTCATCAGTCCCCATGAAGTTAGATTAAATGTAAAATGTATTTTATGGTTTTCTCCTAAACACAGAATCCAGTTAAAAATAAGCCAATAAGACGAGCACAAAATACACCGTTAAAGTAAATAAATGTAAATGGAGAGATTTATTTCATTTCAAACAGCCAGTAAATCTTCATTTAATTTAGTATCCTGTAACATGTGCATCAAGTATGAGCATTTGATCACAAGACAACAGCAAGTGATATTATGTTGTTTTTCCTAAATTCATTATATACACATAATTTATAACTTCTTTTATACAGCAAGACAAGCACATCACATGAGCCAGACACACTCTTCAAAACATTACAATATTTATACAATAACCAATCAAAACAATGTCTTCAGTAGGTGTCAAACCAGGAAAGAAGCAGTCCTGTTTTATGGAATGATATCTTTTGGGAAAAAAGGCTCTCCTTTTTCAGTGTATATATTACTGTGCAATAAACTTCATAAACATGTAAACAAAACAAATCAAATCAAGACCACTTTTCCCCAACAGGGAAAACTTCACACACAACACAAACATTCAAAGTGGACAGTGGGAATATGGATCACAATGATCAGAACTCAGTCCATCCTGATTTTTTGATTGGTCATCCTGTAGATTATGCTGTCATATCCTGGGTCCATGTTCCACAAGTTGTATGCAATAGCAATAACAGCAAGAGCCAAAGCAATCATTAGCCACAGCACAATGTTGAACACAACAGCATACTGGAAGTTATATTTATAGGCCAGGTTGTAAGGGCTGCCTGGGTTGCTCTGTAAAAAGTAAAAAACAAAACTACCTAATTTAATGCAATGTGCAGGGGTTAATTAAACCTTATACAAAGAAGGTTTTAACTTACAATCTGCTTTGATTCCAGAATGGACCGAGACTTTCTGGTCAAAGGAGCCTCGAAGGTTTTCACAGTTACAACTTCCACCACCGCACTGTTGCCATACAGACCGTACACATCTTCTGCAAACTGTAATAACAAAGACTGGTGAGGCTCTCCCCAAATACTTAATGAGCTCCTACATCACCATGTTTACCTTTTGTAAGACAGAAGAAAGAATAGCAGTGGCATCCTTGTATTGAGGGGATTGTTTTCCATAGAGCCTGCTCAGCTCCTCCAGTCCAGACAACTCCAGGGAGTACAGATCAGGAGAATGGTCCTTAGCTAAATGTCTATGTCTCTGCAACTATCATACAGATAGAGACAAGTTCATTCAGATATTCTAGCAAGCAACTTAAAACAGTAAGGGTTGAGAGACTTACCAAAGCTGTAATATCATGGAGCACCTGGACCTCAGAAAGGAAGAGCAGATCCGCCTACAAAGCAAAAACATTTTGTATTTTTAAAGACACACATCCATACACATAAATTTTGTAATTAATATGAACCTACCTCTGAATTTCTGCTGAGGGAGTTCAGTGGCAAAGATGCTAGCACTGAGCCTTCTTGGGAGAGACGTGCACGAATTTGCTGCAGAGTGACTGGCAGGTCCTCAAAAACAGCATTAGCTTTACCAAGCATATACAGCCTCTGAAAATATATTATACATATCACTCTGAAAATATGTATATAAAATATGTCAAGGACATGAATTATTAGTGTTCATTACTTCTTCACTGGGGGCAAGCTGCAACACAACAGGAGTGTCCTCAGCAAACAGAGAGTGAACGGTCTCTGCAACATTATCCAAAGTAAATGGGACAGCCTGCAAAATTCAAACAAAATTGATGAAATCTTTGGCATTTCATAAGATATAAAGCATACTTTTAATGTTTATTTAACTCTTACATTTTCCAAGGGATAACTGGCAACATTCTGAGGCAGGGAGAGGTTATCAGCACCTCTCACTACAACAAGGACATTTGCTCTGGGACGCTGAAATAATGGACCGGCTTGCAAGCCTGGCCAGGACAGCTCCTGGAAAGAAAATACCACAAACGTTCAGCATAGTTTATGGACCAAGTAGGACTGAAAACTGCACTAAGTGCAAAGAAACTCCAGTTTACCTCTTGAACGGAAAAGCCCATAGTCAAAGCTACCAGATCTGGGACCTTCTCTCCAGATATTGGCCATTCACCTTTTTGGAAAGGGACAAACTCTGGAGCCTGCAGAACTGTCAAGCTGTTTCCATGTACACCTATAAAATCAACAAAAGTTTAAAACATGCCATGACATGTGAACATAACAGGTGGCTGACCATGAAGTGAGGAATTTACACATGTAATGTTACAACTCATTATCACGAACATCTGAACAGCTTCATACAAACAGGGATGAATGGTGAGCTCGTGACTCCTGTGGGTGGATAAAAGAGGAAGTACCGTGCGCACGGATCACTTGACAAACTACAGATAGCTGAAATAAACGTAAAAATAACAAAACATGTACGCAGCAAAAGGGTCAATCATTGTACCCATCAAGTTAATTAAAACAGGAAAAAGGGCGCCTCCGCAATGTCGTTTACTTCAATGTCGCAGGTTTTCATAGCAGACATCTAATGCAATTTGTGTAAATTATGCACGGGTTATGAAGAATTTTACAAAGTAAAGTCGATCATTGTTATCAATATTCAATCATAGTTATGTATTTTCATTTTACTTCGAAGATTACACTAACAAAATTGCTGAAGCTAACGCTCAGTCATCTGCATTAGCTTACAGCCGTAATCAGGCTACTTTCAGACATAATGGCGACTAGAAAAGGGATGTTTGCGCATAATCCAAAAGGTAATGTATGTTTTTATAATGGCGAGTTCTTACCATTGGTGGCAACTAGAAGGAGGGCCAGCACAGCGACAAAAGCAGCCTCCATCCTTGGATGGTTCACCGTCGACATCTTTCCCCTTCAGCACAGATCAGCTGACCTGCTGCTACGTCATTTCCGCACGATCCCCCACGAGCTCACTGTGCACGAGACATAAAACCTGAAACGTTTTAGAGCTAAATCTAACTTACTTTTGTACCAAGTTTATTAACCATTAATTATTTTTTTTATTTGTTCTTATTAATATATTAACCCATACAGTCTATGTTTTAACCCCAGTGCTTACATATAAAGGTTCTCTTATAATGTTAAACTACTATATCCCCCCCCCCCCCAAAGAAAATGTGATTATACAGACTCACATGTTTATCATGAATGGGCCGAGTGGAGAACAATTTTCTTTAATTACGCACTTGTTTCAGAGTTTTATTATAACCAACCGCTCCAAACCGGGGGTGTCCCAGTTTTTGTTTTTTGTTTTTTTGAAATCTGGTCACCCTAGCTCTGCCTGTAATGTTTTGGTATTAAATCTTTCTATCTTCATGGAGACCAAACCAGGCCAAGTGACAAGTCAGATCTGTGGAGAGACAATCCCGCTCACAGTCTGACTGCCTGTTTTTCCAAGGTATTTCTTAAAACAACCCCTGAAAAACATTTGACAGACCGTCCACCAGAAGTTACACAATGCGTCTTTAACAGTCAATTACTGAGGCAGAACCATCCCAACACAACAGAGGGCGTTACAACCTGCCAGTTTTTCATGGCCACACGGACACGCAATATTAAAACATACCAAGAGATGGCAGTATACTCTCGTCTATGCACGAAAGACAGCTGCGGACAGTTCCGCCACATTCATTTATAGAGGAATGTCCTCTAGAAGAGAAGAGGCGTTTAGAATGGAAGCGGTCTCGTATGCAGTTTGAATGTTTATTTTAAAGCAACTTCTTTTTGTAAAATATAAATACAAATTATGAGATATTTTAATTACAAATTTAAAACAAAATGCACACACCAAAATTACTTTACTGCAATAGCCTCCATGTTATATACAAGATCTCTGGCAAAAGGTAAATATCTACATTGTCTTAAAACATTATTATACAGTTTTATGCAGTTAAATTACAAACAGGAAGCAGAATCTGAACGAAAAAGTTACAACCAAATTTCCCCAGAGGCTCAAGCAACTGCTGGAGTCTGTGGAAAGAAAAGGACATCATGTGCTTCTCATAAACACAAATACCACATTCAATAGCACAGTCTTAGTACTATTCTGTACAGCTACACACACGCTCAATGTGCTGCACTCTCCCATGCTGGACCGAGTGGTGAGCAACAACCCACAAAACAAAAATCTCTGATATTACATTTCTATATATCATAATTTTACATATATTAATTTATAAAAATAAGACCACTATTAACTTTGTGGTGTCCAAAATTAGTTCACAAGACAAAAATCAGCAGTCCTGACAGCCAGCAGGTCATAGTTTTTGAATAGTGCACCAGTGCTGGACTAGAACAGGGCTAAAGCAGGAAATAAGAGTCAGGATAAGGCATCAAAAAACCCTTGTTGGCTCCAGAGCAATCTGCAGTCCGTAGGGATTGAGGTCAGTGTTTAGGTGCTCCGGAGGTCAGGAGGAGACCAACTTCCCAACTGCCTTGATTTTATCCTTCAACTTGTCCCCTGGATGATCCCAGCGGTCATCCAAACATTCCAGTGAAGAGCCCAGTAGGGCAGCCAGTTCAGCACTGTCTTCAACCAGGTCCAACAGCTCCTTGCTGTCTGAATGGAAACCCTCCAACTCCTCCGGGCAAGAAAAGAGCTGTGACAGAGACGCCTGGCGATAAAACTCTGCCTCTGCCACTGTCACCACCTCCATGTGAGGGAAGGCCTGACGAAAACCACGAGCTGACATCCTCAGACGACGAAGTACATCCGAGAGAAGCAGCCAGTTCCTTGGGCTAAAAGGATGAACAAGGACCGGTTAGAAAATACAGCAGTAAAAAAAACTCAACAATCTTTTCTTTCCATACTTACCCCTGGGAGAGAGACACTTGGATGTTGTAGCAAGGCAACAGAGGTCTATCAGAGAATTCAAACTCAAAAAGTTCTCTTTTGTCATCTTCATCACCATCATCTGGGCCAGGGGGATCAGCTAAGATGTCATAGACTCCACACTCATCTGTGGATTCTGGTAAAGGACACACAACCACATAACATTAGGCCTTAGAAATGAAATCACATATTGTACAAAACAGATCAAATAAAGACCAAAAAACACAAAACTGAAAAACTCAAATACTTGGAGATGTACTCACCACAGACAGCACTGCCATAGAATTCCCAATAAAGGCCAGGGTCATCATAAGAGCGGCCTTGAAGGTCGGCAAAGTAATCTGTACAGAGAAAGAAGTAAAGAATGTGATTCCAGACAAAGTACCCAGGGAACAGACAAGGCAAATCGCATTGCCCTTGACGAATTCAGCAGACGAATATGCCTACATGAATGGGAGGGGCAGCGTGAGGGGAGGAAAAAACAGAGCAAATGTTTTGGGAGTGAGCTGGAAGGCCTAATGGTCAGGGGCCAATGGTTGTACCACAGGGGAGGGGAGCAACAGTCTATGGCGGGATAGAGCTGGCTCAGTTCAGGCCAGGGCTAAAGGCGGCTGCCAGGAATCAAACGAGAACCACAAAATGTAGCGCACACACAGGCTGGAAATAAACAAGCAGAGGGCGCAGGATAAGCACACATGGTCCAAGCAGAGTGTGTTTTCAGCACATACACACAAAGAAATCTGGGCTTAGTGCCAGAGCTGAGGCGTGGGGCGTCTGGCGTGTGTTTGGGGGGATTAACGGCCTCCAGATGAGTGGGACCAGGTGCAGAGAGGGCAGTGATCGCCTGCTCGCTCTCACTCATTTTCCCCGGTGCTCAATCTCCCCTCGCTCTCCTGCGCTGTCAGTCCAGCAGCTATCGATCCAACCATACACACTGTCTTTTCTAAATTCTACACGCCTCTCCACCTGCTGACATAATACATTTATCTTTCAGTAAACCTGTTCGCCTGCTCATTTTAATCACTGCAACTTTTCAACTCTTGAAATCTGTCCTACTTTTAGGTGATTAAATGCTTTTATGTCTATGCATGCACTTTCTCTTGCACACATAATCATCATCTCAAAACAAACTAGCGAAATAACATATTCCAAATGGACCACCAACAGTAACTTTACTGAAAAGCAGTTCTGCTCGCACACAGCTACAACCTGAGCAAGGCCCATTTCGGCACACATGTATGCTGAGCAAACACAGTTGGCGTTGCTAAGTAACCGGAAAGAGCAGCTCCGAGCCAGCAGCACGTGCCCCGGCGGGCTGCGCGTCCCGCTCTAACAGGTGGTCGAGGGAGGGGGCGACAGGCAGCAGCAGAGCACCGGAGGGGAAACAGGATGACAGACACAAACAAACTAGTGCAGGGTGGAAAGTGTACAGGGCAGAACTCACACCAACAGGCTCAGCCAAGGTTACACATCAAATACATCAAAATCAAGATTATGGCATTACACTGTGGTTTAAAAAACTCTAGGCGGTTATACTTCAGGAATACCTGAGCGCAGCAAATGAGTTTTTATCAATTAATATGAAGACAAGTTTGAATAAAAATGACTTAAGAACATAAAAGTAGACCATGAATTAAGTGGATTGGATAATGAACACTACAGGTATACAAGTTATACAGTTATACTAGTTATACATTTATTTTTCAAACACAACTTATTATAGTCCAGTCATTTATCTTCAGGCACTACTGGATCAAACATTGTCAGATTAGTCTGTGTAAGAGTGATATTATACCAGTGAGGAAGCGCTCCATGCCGTCACTGTGGGTCATTTTGAGCAATCCTCGACCAGAGTATGTCGCCAGGGTAGGATCAGCTCCGTAGGACAGCAGCACCCGCACTACATCCAGGTGGTCATTCTCCACGGCATCATGGATTGGCCTACACAAACAATTTGAGTTTCACTTGGCATTTGATTATAGCCACATTAGCATACAAAATTTAAGCTCCAACTTGCCCCTACAACACTATTTTGAGGTAAAGGCTTCGTATGATCATCAGAGATTTGGCGTTGTGTTTACCTGGTGCCATCTTGAGCGCTGCAGTTGATGTCTGCTCCGTAATCCAGCAGATGTTGGACAATGTTGAGCCAGCCTCGAGCGCAGGCCTCATGGAGCGCACAGTAGCCAGCGTAGTCCTTATGGTTGACTTCACATACTTTGTTTTCCAGACAATAAAGCACAACTTCCTAAAAAAACACACACACACATGGAACGAGGTATTAAGGATGAGAATTTACAGTTTGCAGCTAAAAAAACAACAACAACAACAAATAAACACAGTTTTTACACTACACTATTAAAGTTAAAGTTATTTTGACCATTCAAGAATGTACACGAGTAAACCATTTTGTAGCCATAGAAACAACAGTGGCTGTTACGAGTCATGGACTTGGACTATGAGACAACAAGAGGCCAGCATTTGTGTGTTTTCTAGTTAAAGGCTGTGGCGGTTGGGCCTCCAGCACTAAGTAGTCAGACTGGTTTTTATTGGACAGCTCATGCCGTAGAGTGAGTGTTGAAATAAACGCCTTACTTCAGCGATAAAATGTGCGTTACAACATTTGGATTTTTATTAGTTAGGCATTTCCCAAGAGATAGATACAAGAGAAAACAAATAAAATGTAGATTCTAGAAGTCACATCATACACAAAGCACTAGAAGGGAGAGCCTGGCTTATCCACTGTCCTTCGGCAGTCCTGCACAGGAGGGAGAATAGCTGCTCATCTGAACCTGGGGAATGACTCCCAACTTCCATTTCTATGCTAATTCTAGCCTGCCATCTAGTCTAAGTGTTTATCCCCCTCTGTCTCTCCTTCTCTCTCTACTTCAGCACAGGATAGGAGTAGGACAAGGAAAGGACAAGGAGGCAATGGAGGCAAAGACAGACGGAGATGAGCAAAGGGCGGAGAGAGAGGGAAGAGGCAACACCCCAATAGATGACAGATAAATGAATGTGAGGAGGAAATCTGTCAGGGTTGTCCTCCAGGCTGCAGCTGATAGTAACAGGAGACAAATGTGGAGGCAAGAGGGTCTGTGTTGTGGAGGTCGCAATGACAGAAGCTAGACCGTTGATAAAGGGATGATCATTAAAAGAAAAAAGAAAAATAACGCAGGTTTGAGAGGTAAATTTGGAAAGTGGACTTAATTAGTACAGGGTTTGGATGTTACAACTGTAAAATATAACCCTGCCTCTAATGAATTGATCAGACTTTGTTTCACAACATGCAGCCTGTTAGTGTAGTCCTGAAGTACTGGTGAGTTTATGCATGTTGATGTTGAGGAGGCGGCATTGCACTAAACCTCCAAAGTTGTGTTTAATATTGCTGGGAGCAAGCAAGGAGCTTAGCATAAGAGCCCCAGTTTCCCACCAGACAAACACGCGCGCGCGCGCACACCGGTACACAGTAAAATGAGATGCCCCTCCTCTCCCTATGTCCTCTAATCTGCCTTTCCAGAATGCTTCACTCAGACATTTAACCCCATGCAGCTCTGCCTTTAACGCTGCTTGCACACATTACATAGAAAAGTGAAAACTGTGCAGGTGAATTTGCTGGTGCTGTAGTGATACACACGAGACAGTGATACACAGGCCCAGACACAGGAAACATGCTTAGTGTGAATCATTGGCAGCGTGTATCGGCAAGAATTATCAACACAAAACCTGATAAGTTATATCTAAGATTTGTGCAATAGTGGCTCAGGCTTATTTAAGCAATAACAAAACATAACTTAAAACTTTTTTCTTCTTCTCGCTTCTTTTTGAGCAATTTTTGTTGTTGCTGCTGTTTGATGTCAGTATGGATGTTATTATGTTAGATTGTAGTCTTTTGTTTTTTTTTTTTGTTTTTTTTACAAATAACAGGACTGATTACAAATAACAGAAATGAATGGACATAATGATAATAAATTTGCTTATCTAAGCAGGTTTTTGTACACATCATAGTCATGACACAAAGTTGTGAGATATTTTAACTAGTCAGATTTGAAAAAGGTAGGCTGTGAGGGCTTCCCCTTCTCAGTCAATATGATAAATACAGTACCTAGATATGAACAAGCACTAGATGATCGCGGTTTTGTTTTGGTTGACCAAAAAAGGAACAGAGTATACTCCCATTTAAGGGAAATCTGAACTGATTGATATAAAAGTCTGAATAGCATGTTGCACCTTTATCTGAGCTTTCATTGGGTAGAAACGAAGAGGCCCTGAGCCTCAGGAGCAAGAGGAATGAAGACATCTGCAGAATCTCTTCTCATTACCATTTCAAATGCTCAAAAGTGAAGCATAGAAGGGGGAGCCAGAGAATAAAGGGGAGCAAGAAAGGAAGGAAGAGAGAGTGAGCTTTCATGTGCATAGTCACGGATCGCAAAACTAAACGAACATGAAATATGCAGAGTGTCGGCTGGGCACGGAGAACATGGCAGAATGGTGTGTTAAATGACATGCATGTGAGGTGTGCATTAACACGCACAGGTCTGTACTCGTATGCTACAGCGGCACTCCACTCGCTTGTGGGTCTGTGTGCCTCATGATTGTGTATTTGCATGTGCAGGCCTGTGAGAGTGTGCAACACCAGCGATAGCCATCATTGTGTGAGGCATATGGACCTGAGCACGTTAGAATGTCTATGCATGCGCTTACTGGGTCATAACCAGAGGTTGTCTGTGTGCGCATCCTTGTGAGTGTACGTGCCTACGACTCCAGCAGTCATATCTCTGCCTGTGTGCGATAAGCCCTGTGCTCGCGGCTGCGCTGTGCGCCTCTACGGCGTGTGTGTGCTCTGAGTCTACAGAATGTGTGCGCTGTGCGTGTGTGCGTGTGTGCGTGCGTGCGTGCGTCTGCGTGTGTGTGTTTTGCCTCTAGGGCATGTGTGTGCGCTCTGCGCCTCTACGGCATGTGTATGCGCTCCGAGTCTACAGAATGTGTGTGTGCGCTCTGGGCCTCTACGGTGTGTGCGTGTGTGAGCGCTATGCATAAATTGGTGTGTCTCGTAGCACACGTCTTTGTGTGTGCGTGTGTGCGGAGCCCCAGGGGTCTGCCCCAGGCTTATCACACACAGGCAGTGAGAGACGAGCTTCCTGAGAGGGAGAGAGCAGAGAGAAAGGGAGGGGGTGGAGGAAGGCGGGGGGCGATGTTTGCGCAGCGGTCAGCGCCTTGTTTGTGTAGTCTCAGGTTTTCTCTCCTCCTCTTTCCCTCCCCACACGCAGGGCGCAGGAAGGGAAATTTCGAAGGGGATTGGGGGAAAAACGAGAATGGAGGGAAAAAAATGTTCGAGAGACGCATAAATCAGAGACGAGCCAGCTTCTCTCCAGCACGGCTGAGTGAGCCCCGCTGCTGCGCTGCTCTGTGTGTCTCTGTGTGTGCGCACAAGTGAATGAGCGAGCGAGCGGAGGAGGGAGAAAAACAGCCGCCACCACTGCTAACCACAGTCACCACGGCACATTAGAGGGCTATTAGAACACGATTATACTCCCAGTGCTTACCTCTCATTCACACTCTTCCACTCTGACTCAAATACACCTCATCATCATAAATGTGAACACCACCATAAAGCAACTGGTTAATGGACAACAAAAGATATTATCTCTTGCATACAAACTCCAAACAAATCAAATAGATGTTAGGAAAAAAGTGGAATGAAAACCACTTGGATCATAACAGAAATGTGTCAAAGTCTAGTAAGCCCATCCCGTCTATGAACGAACAGTAGAGGAACTGGAAATGAAAAAGCATCTAATTCTGAAAAGGCTGTGAGCATCCGTCTTTGTATAATGATCCAGCAAACCCTCACTCGCTGTGCATACACGTGTGTGCGCGCCTGTGTCGGCGAGCGTGTCACACTTTGCCTCACGGAAAATTAATGAGATGTGAGAGCGGAGTTAGGCGGGGGGGGGGGTTAGTATGTGCGTATATGTGCACACTCGCTGGGAGAGGGAGGAGGAGCGGAGCCAACGACAATCTGAGTCACAAAGAGAGGAAGAGAGCGCAGAGGAAAGTAAGGGGAGCGGAAAACCGGCGTGCGGGGGACAACAGCAAACGTTGTAAAAGAATAGATAGGTAGATAGGAGGAGCACTAAAACTAATTGTTTTGAGAAAAAGTGAAATATGAGCAGCTCATGAACAAATAGTGGGATCGTACCTCGTAGCCTAGCCGTGCAGCTCTCTGAAGCAGTGTCTCTCCAGCATTCTTGTTGACAATCAGCCGGCGAGCCTCAGGCGGGATTGGGCGCAGCGCGGGAGGCTCAGCAGGGGGGGGCCTGTGCGTCACGGCCCCTTCTGTTGGTGGGATTCCACCCAACCTGCCATTTGCCTGAGGTTGCAAGGATGGAGGACAGTGCAAAGTGGGAGAGCAAGGCTTTACTGGAGAGCAGGGGTAATAGTTTGGAGACGCAGCTCTCTTCCTCGGGACACTACACTGTTCATTCGACTGTAGAGAGTGAAGGGAAGAGAGAGTCACACACGGCTGCCAAAGGGAAGCCGTAGCACGTCAACTATCTACTTAGCTTCTATATATTTTACCAACAACATAAATAATGAATATGATCTGATTATGAATTCATATGATTCTAATCACACCAGAATACATTGTCTAAAATGTATTTGTCACTGCAATAATAGTGGATATTTGCATTTGACAAGACTGGTTTCTATAACAATCAAACTGACCAATAACAAAATGCTCTTTTGTTACCCCTGCCCCTCTCAGTGGAGTCCTATGTCAAAGCAGTGAGTTGAAGTGAGGCAGGGTGCTTAAGTAACACAATTTCCTGACCAGTTAAGTGAGATGTACAGAGTGAAAAATTTAACTGCTAGAGGATTTTGTAATTGTGTCAGGAATGATCCTAAATACCCATTCAAACATTTGAGATACAAATCAACAAAAAACACTAGCAAAGGCAAGCACTGACCAATCATGGTCCGAGACTAGTGCACATGCAGGCCCTCTCCATGGGGAGTGAAAAAGGGCACGGGGAGGTCAAAGCTGTAGCAGTCTGCCAAACATTGTAAACATACTTCTTTTTCTCCCTATTGCATAATCAGAGGCATCATCAGGCATTCTGAAACAGACTGCTGTGCTAAATATCCCCATCTTTGAGAGACAGTCAATATAAAAAAGGTGTCTTTTTTGTTTGGCCAGGTTACAGGTCACTACTACTACCACCAGAGCACAGACAAAATCATTTTCCACATGCATCTACTCTGAGGACATTTATAGTACAAAATACAAAATTGACATGATCCACATTTGTTCTTTCCCAATGGTTTAAGACCTATCCAGAACACACCTTATCGTCTTCTGGAGCTCCCAGGTCTGTCGTGCAGCGCTGTGCTGGACTCGCTGGTGTAGGCTCTTTCCTGCGGTCCCGCTCCCGTTCCTTCTGACTAGTGTGCTTGGTCTTGCATGGCCGCTTTCCCTTGGGTTTGTCTGCGTCACTATGGCGACGAGCCTTGAATAGATTGGGTCCTCCCACCGACAGTTCCTGGTTAGGAGAAGTCGGGCCCCTCCTGTGTTCCTTATGGCCACGGTCACCTGAGAAGGGGTTTGGCAGTTGCACTCGATCCTTTAGCTGGCCAGGGGAAAGTGAGGGAGCAGCTCCTGGAAGAATAGAAGAGCAGGGTGAGAAAAGCAAAGTGCACACTTGATCGTGTGAGATGTGCATGGAAGGGAGGATGGGGAGATATTGCAAGGCCATCGCTCATCCTCTGTTGGTTTATTAATGAGCACACGGAACTGTCTGCGAGCACAGCAGGCTTGCTCGTGCGAGAAAATAAAGCGCACACATTGTGTCTTGCACAAACTCATTCACAGCTTCAAGGACACTGCTACGAAAGCTTGTATAGTGGCTGTTTGAATTTATCCATTTATAGTGTTTACAGTGTTTACGGTGTTTACCAATATGCAATATACACTGTAATTACAAATATTTATTATTAAACTTATTGCAATAAAGTCACAGTTGCTGGAGTGAAAATGGTAAAAAATCAAATAGAAGTGCTTCCAATTATTGTCTGTGGTTTCTGCAGAAAAACCAAAGTTTCCCCTGCTCTATCCACTTCCCTTAATCCCTTTCCTGTTCTTTATTCTCGCCGCTCGTCTGGACCCAAACTTTGGTACATGAAGGGAAAGGCCTGGTTTTAACAAGTAACCCCCTGACACTTTATTCATTTTGCGGCGACTGGTCATGAGAAAAAAATAATTAAAGTTAGGCAATCACAATTTACAACTCCTGACTAGTCACATCGAGTGGCAGGCAAGGTAGTCAGTGATGTAGATCCAAGCAATAGTTCAGTTTTTTAGAAAGGAGGAACAAGAATCTACCTCACATCCTCTGCTTCTTTCCCCAAAAGTACCCGGGAAATCCCCTTGATGACAGATGTCTCAACAAGAAAGCAAAAACGTGGGCCAAAGATAGATTTCCACTACCCAAGCTGAACCCGAGAATGCAGTGGTGTGCGCTGCTGGCGGCTCATTCTTACCATTGAATTTCTCACAACCCCATTTCCTGTTGATCTCGGCCCGTTGTGCTGCAAGGCGCTCCTCTGTGTCGCTGGATCTGAACTTGTGCGTGCTCTGTGCCGAGGACAACAGTCTGTTTTGGTGCCACACTCGCTCCTGCTTTATTTGAGGCCTGTCCGGTGAAGGCGTGCCGGTGGTGGGTTTACTGAGTCGGAGCCCTTTAAGCTCAATGCACACTTTAAGCTTGTGAACTTCATCGTCGTCATCTTCATCTGGTGTAGTGTGGCCCTCTAATGAAGAGGCAGAACAATGTGTCATACAACATACAAAATATTTTAACACGCCACACCAGACTGAAAATGACAACACCTGTCAGTAACAGAATCTATCTTCACTGTTTGTTTTAAGAAATACGTTTCTTAAAAGTCATTGTGTCAGTCAGTAGCTAAGGTTAACAATAGTTCTGAAATGATGCCTCATGTTTCATAGATGGATGCAACATTCGCAATATATGAGAGGTTGACGGAGGGAAAAAGGGGCAGTGAAAAGTAAATGTTTGGCAAAAAAACAATCCCATAAAACCCGCAGACCCAGAGGAGGAATCTATGGGGATGGGTGTTTGACTCGTCAGCCAGGAGTATGGAGAGCAAGCGGGAAACCACATGCCAACAAAAAGCAGATGAAAGTAGGAGAAAAAGAGCAGCTTTGAAGAGGGTGGGTACAGGAACGACTGAAAATATTCAGGGGAGACTAGGGGGAGAGAAAGCCGTCCCTCTTATTTGCTTCTCTTGCGTTCTCTGCTCAAAGGCAGGATTAAACACTTCTCTGAGCTTAGCTGCCACACGGAGCGTAAGATGGGACAGTGAGTGGAAAAAGGGGTGGATGCGGCGAAGTGGGTTTAAGGTGGATTTGATTAGGAGGGGGAAGTGACAAAAGGAAAGGAAAGATTAAAAAAATAACAAGGTTTGAAGACAGCGGTTCTGTGGCATACGAGATGAAGGCAGGTGGGTAGAACTGATAAAATGCATAGAAAGCAAGACAAAGAGAGCAAAAACAGATGAGTATATAAGTTAATACATACCAGGAGAAATCTTTGGTTTCTTCTCACCATGACACCTTCTTTCTGCTTCATCTCTATCCCTGTCCTCTGAATCGGTCTTGGGGCGTTTTCTGGCTGTCCCAAACCTCTCCTCAGTGTGAGCTTTGGCCAATGTCAAAGTAGGCGGGATACAGTGGCCCTCAGAATCCTTAGTCACTTTCTTGTTCACATCTTTTAAACCAAAGACGTTGGCGCTTCGAGCTGGATCATGATTTGCTTGTCCTGGGGATAAAGGCTCCCTCTGTCCACAGTGTTTTTGGAAAACTGGTACTCTGCTTCCAAACGCAGGACGGCAACCTGTAAAAATGGAGAAATGGTAATGACAGGTCATAAAAAAGACCCAAATCTCAGACAAGCAACAAATAAGATGACAGGGTGGAGGTAAAACAGGATGGCGGATTGACAAGAGTGGAAATGTCCATTTAAGACCAGACAGCTTTTATTCCTCTTTTAAGACAAGCAGTAAACTTTGATGGAGTATAGACTTTAGATGTCAGCCGCGTCGGTGGCCTGATGCAGTCAACAAAAATTCAGCATTCTGCAACTCAGGTACAAAGACTTTTGGTTTCATTATTTAATGTTCTTTAGTTTGCAGATGAAAATTGTGTTATTTACATAACTGCAGTATTTTTAGTAATTATTACAGAGTTTGCAAAATAGATAAATATTTGTTTTAAGAATAAGGACCTAAATTTAAGATTAAAAATAGGCATTTAATTCAACTTGGACCAGCCCAAGCTTGTATGGCTCTGAGAATGAATATTCACAGGGAGAATTCAGGATTCAAGAACACTACGGGATTCTTGGCTAATTAACTGTGTGGTGACAGTGTGGCTGCTTACACGATGCCATTCAGTGGCACCCCCCCTTTTTTCCAAGTCTTCATGCGTCTGTCCTTGCCAAAATTAGGCTCACACGTCAGCCACGGTCTCGCTCCAACACACAGCTGGGCTTAGAGCCAGAGTCACTAACCATCACCTCTCTTCTGTCTCCGCTTGCCGTCTTCCCATTTGTTTACAGTGCACCATGGTTTTCACCAACCATTTTTCCCTGCTGTGACTGTCTCTGCCCGTCTTCCCTCCACAGCCAGGCATCTTTGAACACAAAGATGCACAAAGGGCTTCCACAAAATAGTAGCCTTCTCACTTGGCTTGTGAAAAGTCTGTCTAACCAATCTGTCTTTTAGAGATCTTGCCTTAGGATTGTCTGATGCTATGTATGTGCCCCTTTTGTCTACACTGTGTGTGTATATGTGTAGTTGTGTGAGTTGTGTGCGTTTTGCTAGCCACTCACCGTCTCGCTCTCCCTGCCTGGTGCTGGCTTGGCTGGGCTCCAGCGCTCGCTCTCTGCGCTGGCTGTCTGCCAGCTCGCGTCCTGCTGCCACTGCCGAGGCAGACACACACACACTGCCGCTCTCCTTTTCCTTCAGCTCCAGCTCTGAAAAGCGCATCATGGCCCGCTGCACGCACACACATGACAAACGCATAGGGAAAAAATCATGAAAACCACTCATTGTGTGCACATGCCACAGGCAAACACCTCTTTAAACCTAACTCTAGCCAGAACAGCTACAGATGCAAACAGCAAAAATAATACATGACATTATGCTCAAATTATAACATATAAAGAACAGACCCCAACATTCACAACACACACAGAACAAAAGGTAAGAGACAGTTGAAAGCAGAGCATTAAGAGGTTAACTACAGCAACCACAGTGAGTCCATGCGTTCTGGGGCTCAAATTGTGCCTTCTCTTTTGTTAAAACATTTATAACATCTAAGCTTGGAGACACAAGAACAAAATGAAAGAGAAAAAGTAGGTGCAGAAGAAGCAGTAAACAGTGATACAGAAGGACAGAGAGAGACCATCAGAGGCAGATATGATAAGAAATGTAAAGAACTGACCTCCCAGTTAGCTGCAGGTTGACTTACATTACTCCCCTCTTGTGATATGACTTCCATCTAAGCAATTAGAATGGGGGCTCAATTTATCTGTCCATCATTTCCTTTTCTTTGTTTTTATTAACCCACATATTTGTGTTACAACAATACAAGACAATGTAGCAAATCACATTATTTCCCATGGGCTTGATTACCAAACTGTGTTTAAGTAAGCTTTGAATTGAACCTAGCTGTAATCAAGCCATCGGTTTCAGTTAAATGTCCAATTACATGTCCAGATATACAGCTGCAAATATTTTTGAGCTACAGCTGTGCTTTAACACATCACAAAATCATATCCACAGTTACTGAGGTGTGCTTACAACAAAGACAAACATGTGCGACCTATTAACATATCTGCCTCTGAGCAGGTGCCACACACAACATATGTTGTTTTTCCTCTAGATCAACGTATTGCTGTAATATTCATTCAGTGAAATGTGGGTTAAAAACTAAGGTTGGTGGGGGGAAATGAGTGTTAGCAAATAGCGTCCAGCAAATGGGGCCATGCAAAAAACTCAAAACCCCTAAAGCGGGCAGGCAGTAGTTTTAAGTACAGTAAGGCCCCTTTGCTGAAACTCGCCTTGGGGTTAAGCATAGCTAAAGGCAGTATGAACCGTGAGGCTAACCCTGGTCATGCGCACAGACTGTGGTGGCACACTTCACACTAGCACATGTCTTAGCCCCAAGGCAGTTGCACAAGGACAGGCACGTACACACACACACACACACTCACAAGCATGCAGGCTCAGAAATAACCTTTACAATAACTGTACACTAATCAACATACAGAGATGGCAGCACTGTTAACCTTTGATCTGCCATCCCTGGGAGAGGCCCTCAACAGGCCTCACACCAGCTCTAGGACAATTATGGATCAAGGGGAAAGGTCAAGCTGCTAGCTAGGATAGTAGTATGACAGAACTATTCTATTCTATCTTATGTGTTGTGAATGCAGAATATGTTCATGCAACAGTTTGATAAGGAATGCAGCCAGGGAGAAAAGGGACTTCGTTGGGTATTTTGTTGATTATTAACTAAAACGAGATTTCAAATGTCAGTACAAATAAATAAATAAGTAAAAACTGGACTTATCATTTACACACTCAACATCCCAGCACCAACCTCAGTCCTTTTATGAATGAACAAAACTATGAAAATTCCTTACCTGCAATGCTCTTTGTTCACGGCTCAATTTGCTGGAGTCTGCATACAGTTCAGTGGTCACACATTTAAAGCGATCTCCGACATAGCCAGAAGAATTGGCAATTCTCTTTGCCAAGCTGGATCCTCGACAGTGTTTAGAAGAGTTGTGATTACTCTCATCTTCCTCTTCCTCTGCTTCTCCTTGAGACTCCCCAAGATCAACAATACTGTCCTCTTTCTCAAACATCTTCTCAGGAACAAAGTTTTCTGAGGTTGCATCCTTCTTTATGTCTGTTCTTGGTGAAGAAACAGGACTTCTGTTCGGAAGCCCTTTGTCCTTCCTGGAGCTCCACTGGCCTGATGTTCGTGCACAATGCAGTGTACTTGGGTCATCAGGCTCTGGGCTGGGGCAGTTTTCTTCCAAACTGTCTTCTGCCTGGACATCCAACTCTGGAGCACTCGGTGACTTGGAACATGTGTCCTGGGGAACATTTGTTTCCTCAAATGACTTTTCAGACTGCTTTTCGGTGTAGTTAGATTTAGGAGATGCGACCTGTGAGCCTGAAAATGATTTAGAAAGTTTGGGTTCATGGACAGTCTTAGTAGGTTCAGGGTTACTCTCACAACACTCATTTTGGTCATTTTTAATGGTAGGCTCAGTGGAGACTTTCTGGTGAACTGCTGGAGTTGGCTCATTATCAATATCAGTATCTGAGTGTACAAGGTCTATGCAGACTATGTTTTCTCTGGACGTTGTAGACATACTTTTACTTTGACTACGCTCTTGTTCTTCTGCTCCCATTTCGCGGGCAGACCTTATCTCACTTATTTCAGTTGGATCCTTCTCATTTCTACGCTGCTGATTAAACTCATCCACAGCTGTCCGAGGTTTTTCTTGCCCTCTGCTCTTTGGATCTCCCCGTTCCGAGTGTTTGCCGTCTGAATGAGGGTGCATTAGGGGATGAGCCATCTCCTGTGAGTTATATGCAAGATATTCGCCACCTGGTCCCCCTGGGATATTATGATAGGGTAAAGCATGCTTGGGTGCCAAATGTGTTGGATAGAGACTATTGCCACCAAGCAAAACAGGGTGTGGGTAGACTGGGCCTTTACCGGTGAGAGAAAGGGGATGCAGGGCCATACTATCTGGAATAGGGTAGTGGAGGTATCTATTGGCATATGTCATGCTATGGTTCAGATAAGCCTCGTTTTGAGGAAGGTACAAGTGTCCAGAGGGATGGCCATTTTCTAAACAGGGCCTCTTGTATGGCAACACTTCTGGAGATGGCTCACTCCTCTTTGTAGCTTGTGAGGTTTTGTCAGCCCCCTCTCTGTGGTGTCCAATGAGTTCATATTGGCTGGGACTCTGTTTGATCCAGTCACTACTTGGTTTTGGGGAAAGAGGTCTAGAACTAACATGAGAAGAGTTTGTATTTTGAGAGGAAGAAACCGCGCGATTGGGCTCCCCCTTCTTTGGACAGGAAGAGCTTCGCTCCTGTGGTGCCGGTCTGTCTATGCCTCTGTTTCTGATGGCAGGTGAGGAGCTTTTACCGTGTGACGGTCCCAGGTCTGTAAAAGGCCTTGGGGATGTGGGCACTACTGAAGCGTGCTGAGAGGACGTAGGTACCACCCAAGATGAATGTAAAGTGCTAATCATTTCAGGTCTTTCTGTAACCTTTGATGAAGTGCTGCTGACCACAGAATGAGCATGTGACGAAGGGGAAGTGGGCATATTGTCTTTTTGAAGCTCTCTGCCATGAGGCGGACCATAACGTCCACCTGATGCTAATGTCTCCATCTTAACTGAGAAGCCATTTGGAGGGAGTCCAAACTCCAGCATTCGTCCAGACAAGTCCAAAGGCTTCTCTACCGGGTCTTTGGTTAACACAGCTGAATGACTAGGGTGAGCTGGCCTTTCCACAGTGGGTTTGGAGGGTGACCTACTGGATCTTCTTTCAGTTGCTCCACTTTTGAGTTCAGGCACAGCATCTCTTGGCCTTGGTTTATGAGTACTAGGTCGAGAAGGAGAGCACTGGTCTGATGCGATGCTGGTTACAGAAAAAGGATGGGAAGTGGACTGTGCAGTAGAGACAGAGTCATTGGTTGAGACGGGCAGTTGTCCGATTCTAGCAACAGGCCTTTGTAAATCCAGTGAACTGTCAGTTAAACCAGGTGGAGGTTGGGAAAGACGTGATGGTGTAAGGGGAGAGCAATCTGATGTGACTACACCATTTTCATTTACACAAGCCGCGCTGCCATTGTTAGAACTGCTACAGGTCTTCCTAGACGGAGGTCTACTTGGTCTACTGCTTCTGTTTGGAGACCTGTCTCTGTCTGGAGCAGCCTGATGGTGTGGTGGATGAGGAGATAGTTGGTGAAGTTGTGGTGGATATGATGGTGCAACACCAAGCCCCTTTTCCTGGCAGTGTGCCATTGATGTGGGAGCCACGCTGACTGCAGGAATCCTCATTGGCGGGGCCCCGAGGGGGGAAGAGATAGGAGAGGGGGGATATGGTGGCATGTAGTAGAGCCTGTCAGTTGGTGAAGGGGCTGCAGCTGGAGTTACATTGCCCCCCTGAGCAGCACAGAGAGAGGGATAGGCCAGGTGTTGGGGAAGATAGGGGTTAGGTTGGCTCAGTAGAGAAGCTTTGTACATGTTTAGAGCTGCAAACTTTGAGGATTCCATGAACGGATACATGCTGGCTTCAGGGTAAGGACTGAGCCAAGGCAGGCGTAGGTAGCTGCCTCCTGCACCTGCCAAGCCCAGCTCAGATGACTTTTCTCCAGGCCCCACTCGGCATTCCAACCCCAGCCCGTCAGCTCCAGGAACCATCACAGGCTTGTGGAGGCTTGGGGGGGTCCCCTTGTAGAGGCCAAGATATCCATTAGCAGGTTTACGACTGTCCAGTGTGGCATCAGGTTTATAAATGAGCTCCGGGAGACCATCTCTGCTGTAACCAAGGGGGAGGCCAGCAGACTCTCGACTCTTGTCAGAAGGCAGCGCTCTGATCCCTGGATACACCACTCCGCTGTGGAGGCGGAGACCATCATGCATCAGGGCACCTCTGTCCAGTCCCATGGCAGCCAGGGGGGTTAACCTTGCATCCACCTAAGACAATGACATGATAACAATGTTATATAGAAAACATCCATGGCACTACAAACGAAAAATCTAAATAATGACTTGCCATGGTATAAGCGTTGTGGTTTCCTCGTCTTAGTTCCAGGTTTCTTTTGGTCTCGACATCACGAACAGATGTTGCCCTGAGGAGAAGAACAAATAAGTTACAGTTTTGACTCTTTGCAGCTTTAGGCCAGGTGTGCAGTTGTATTAATGAATATAGAGGGACAGAGAATGTTACAGTTGTCTGCAATTCCACTCATACAAATCCACTGAAGTAGGCTGTGGAGATGAAAGCACTCCCCTCCCTCCTATCTGTCAACAATTCTCAACAACCTTCTCCCTATTCACCAAGACCCCGGGTCCTACCCGCCCTGTGGACTAGACGTGCATTGTGGGGCCGCTTCTTTGCAGTCAGTCTCTACAGTTTTTTATGCCCTCTTTGACCTGCTCAGTGCTCGCCTCAGTCACTGGAGTGAATGAAGATTAAACATCAGAGACCATTTCAGTGGGGGCCCATTTACCGCCCACCAACAGGCGGCTACAGATCAACAAACGCATATCAAAAAGGAAAGAGACATGTTGAAGATTCACTTAAAATTAAACACAAATCTAATGGGGACATCACATTGACTTGCATTAATTTGTGTAGACTGACCCTAACCTTCACCATAGTTATCTCTACCCAACCTTAACCTAATCCTAAACCTAATTTAACCCATGTGAAAATAAAATCATGTTGATAATCTAAAAATGATTTACATCATGGGGACCTGATTTTATCCCCATGAATTGAATGTATACATTTTATTCCCCACAACGTGATACATAGTGGCACACACAAAAAGAACTTTTGTGTTTGAGAAGTTTTGTTGAAAAGCAAAAATACATAGGTTATGAGACAAAATGTATAGAAGCTGGAGCTTTACAAACGTTTCTGTAAACTTAAGCACATCGGAAAACACTGCAAACACTGAATCATTTGAAAACATAATTCTATTAATTGCTGGTTGACATGGATATGTTGAAAACAGAAATGTGAAAAGTGAAATTTTTACTAAAAAAAAGAACAAAAAACGTTTGATTGTCCCCTCGATGAACAATTTCTAACCCTGTTGTGAGTGGGCTCTAGACAGGAGTGGGAGTTTGAAGGGGGAGGGAGGCAAGCACCCTTAAATAGGCTAGTAAAAGTGTGCTGCCTCGTCGTGTTTCGCAGCTCTGAGCGCAGTAGCGAAACAGCTCTCCTCGATCATCGCAGAGAAACGCCTCTGAGCCTCGCTGCCGCGCCACTGGCACGCCACTTTTATTGCCGTGACCCAAGGCCCATTAATCAGCCTGCTGCGGGCCCCTCAGCAGCTCCTCTCCAGTCCACTGCTCCCCTCCCCCAGCTCCCCAGGGGCAGTCCCGCTTTCAACAACATCCGCATCAGACGGAACTGAACACTGAACTGGGAGAGCGCGGCAAACTTACAACCACGTGTCCATCATCTTCGAGTCAGACAGAAAGGGAAAAGGAAACTGCTCCCCCCCCCCCCTCATTTCACCAAGCGCTTTACCAGACGCCTAGGCTACACATTCACAAGTTAGGTTTAGCTAATTTCTAACCCATATTATGTATGCATATTAAAGTATAAAATATGCCTACTTTAATGTAGACCTATTTTATGGAAAGTTGTTACTGAATTTATCCTCAATGAAAAAAAAAAAAAAAATGAACAGCAACCGCAGTGCGCCAGATGTCATTTTAAGGAAGAGTCTGCTCCAACTGAATTTCCAAGGAAACAAGGTCAGGCCATATATAGCCTACGTGTGCGTAAAACAGTGCATGTAAACTGGACTTAAAAACACTGTTGACGCTCATTTACCCGCTAATGCGTGTTTGTTTGTTTTCCCGTTTCTGTGCGTATCACATCCATACGCACTAAAATAGCTGACAATTAGGCCTTCAACGCCCCATGTCACCACAGGAAAAGTAGGCCAGGGGTTCTAGGCTAATCGTACCAGAGTTCCCTATTCAGTTAATGTCTGTAGAGCTTCGTTTTTGCATCTGATGGCAGAAGTATCGCGCTGCTTTCACTGCGTATCAGCGAAGGGCCCTTGCTCTTTGTCCCTGGAGCTTTGCCAAGCTCTCCGGTGCACATAACTTCGATCAGCTCAAAAATGTACTGTGACGCAGGATAATCTTTGCACCGGCGGGGGTGGGGTGGGGATAAACATGGATTAAATGCATGCGTGCACAAACGGCACGAACATGGAGTGGGAGAGATGCGTGTGCGCGTGACAAAAAGAAACGCGCGCAAGAGCAGGAACTGTCGATGTGCGAAAGAACACCTGGTCCTGCACGTGTCATAGCGCGCCAAATAAGAAAAGACACGGCACTTGTCGGAGCCCACATTAAGTAGTAGGCTAGGCGTACAATAGATCTATCCATGGGTTTAATAAAGAAACCCAGGACCGTTTCATTAGCAATCAACAATTCAAAACAATTCATTGTTTGGTCAACTGTCCTCAAAGTGGCACCATATAGGAAGACAGCTGAAACCCATGGATTTGTAATAAAATATCAATTGACCACATATCATTTAATGCAAGAGTTGGGGTTATAATAGTATAGGTAACATTACCAAAAGCTCTGATGTGTCTCATTGTGACATTCACTAATCACACAAATAAGTGTGCTGAAGTCAGAGCTATGCCCTGAGAGCACCGTTGTGTATTTCAGCTGACACATCGGCGAACAAGCCGTAAACACGGGGCCCTGCGTCCTCCCAGGCTGCTGCACAGGCGCATGCAAGTAGGTGCGCGCGCCAATCCTATCCCTCAGCAACAACGACAACATTGTGAGGACCCCACATCCCTCCCTCTACCCCTAATGCTGTCACAGGGACACGGGTGGAGGCTGCTGAACTGGCTCCATTCATCCCTAGCCAAATGAGATCTAAATGGCGCTTTATGGCAGCGAAGTAACCGATTGTAATGGAGAAGCGACGTGCGCACGAGTTTGCTCCACTCACCAGTTAGCTTTTCACAGTTCACTTTGAAATGGAAACGAGAGGAAAGCAAAGACCTGCATCACACCCCTATATTCCTCCCTACGGCCCAATGATTGCCTATTTTGCGTGTTCATGTAAATTAGGCCCACATATTAGCGGCACAGGTAACATCACAGCCGATGGATCAGATCAGATCCATGGGCAGATCAGCACGTTCAGTCTGGCATGTAGCCCACCTTCAATTAAGGCTCTTGACGATTAGTGAAGGTAGTCACGGTGAAAAATACACAGCCAATAGACAAAGATATAACAATCAAAATTTAGTGAGGAGTAAAAGTAGGCCTACTTTGGGACAACCTTCAAGGCTGGCTGTGTCACCATCATCATAATATTGTCCCTTTATCAACCTTCCATAGATCCGGGCCAAGTTGAGCTCAGACAGTATAAACTGCAACCAGTCTTCCAAAACTGGTGCTAATTATTTCTGCAATAAGCTACTGGTAAAAACAACATTAACAACAACAACATCAGAATTGTCACCACTGTTGTAATTAAAGGAGCACAGTGGAGTAGAAGCCTTTATTGAGAAGTGTGGGGCGGCAGGGAAGCGCGCAACGGCCGACACATCTCCGCAGGAAAGTGATCTGTGCGCTCCAGTCGAAACAAAAAGCTTTGTTCAGCGTAGAGAGGGAGATAGAAGCTGGGTGGTGTGAAGGAGAGTAGGAGGAGGAGGAGGAGGAGGAGGAGGGGGGGGGAGGGGGGCTCTCATTTCATCGCGAGGTCCCAAGAGGCCAGCGCAGAGCATAGCTTCAATCAAACCGTGACGTCTCCTCGGGGAGCTGCGCAGCGCCTGGAAAACCGATCTCTCCTCGGCCCCTCTCTGTGGTTCCGGGGCTTTTGTTCACACGCACATCGCCTTGCTCGGCACAGAGCGCAGAGCCGGCAGCTACAATGCCGTTTTATTTTCAGGCGTGAGCAAGATGGCAAAAATACACTGTAATTCGCAGATTGAATTTAAAGTGTTGCCTAAAATTTTAGTTGACGAATATCTCTGATTTTAAACACAGATGATGGCCAACTTTTGGCTATCCTCTGACTGCCTCCCTCCTCCGGACGTTGACAAAGCGCACAAACAGCAGGTTAATAGATTATGAATGCGATCTCTGTGATTGGCTTTTATAAAGAATGCTCCAAACTGCCCCAATGGAGCCACACTGACACATCACTCAGCATGACAATACCACTCAGCAGGTCCACAGCTGGTGGTGCCTTCAGGTGCACCCTACACTGCCAGCAAATTAGGGCTATACAAACAAAATTGGTTTGGGCACAATGTGTAAGTCAAATACCCCATAAAGTAAAGTCTCGCATAACAATGTTGCCAGTGAAGCGCAGCCCAGCCATGTTCAACATCAATAACATAATAGGTGAAATAATGTAGCCTTTTAAAAGGGCTGTTTTTATTTTAAGTAGGTTAGTTAATTTTGTTATTTGAAGTAGGCCTAAGACGTACCAATGACATAACCTGCTTATGTTTAACTGGGGCGCACAGAGACGTATAGCTGAAAAATGCTTATCCCTCTCTGAAAGCAATGAGCTCGGCCCACCAAGATGAAGCACATCGATCGTCCGAGAGCGCGTCCACCAATACAGTCTGCCATGCTTTGTACAAGCCTGTGTCATGCGCAACGTGTCTATGCAAAAAACAAACAAACAAACAAAACCCTGTACAAATGACGGCTTACGTGGTTGTGTATGAATAATAGGTCTTTGTCGCCCCTGATCCACAGAAGTTTTACAACATTGTAAGTTTAACGTCTCTGGAATATACAACCCAACAACAACCTGCAGTTTGTGCGTAAAGTCCATATAACTTTAGAAATAGCCAATGTAAGCAATATAACTCTGTGTTTATAAGAAGCTTGGATTTTGTGTGTGTGTGCGCGCGTGTGTGTGTGTGTGTGAGTCTTGTGATTCATTTTATCCAAAGGAAAGGAGAAAAAAAACATCGCGTGTCTGACCTAAAGGGGGAGGGGAAGCCATAACAAGCTCTACGTGGATTCTCCGAGCGCAGCAGCAGACGCTTCACTCGCGCTAAACAGAAGAGTATCCTACCCCACAGCTGGGAAGGACTGAACGTCGAGATTTGTCTGCCAAAACATTCATAAAATGAAGCCGGGCATGTGTCAATAAAATCTGATTTAATTGCCCCATTTCAAAGCTTGTTTATGATTGTTAATATATGTGTGATATTGGGACTGTTTTTGACAGTGTCAATGGATTAACGTTTTACACATAGACTA